AGACGGAATTGTTTTTAACTGTTTTCTCTTTTTTCTTTTTGTATTTTGTATGGTTTTTTTTTTCTTTTTCTTTTTAAATTTCTTTTTTATTAGGATGTTTTTTCATGTGAAATTCCAATAAATATCATTAATAAAAAAAAAAAGTCACTGCTATTCCCAACACCCTGGAAGCCGCCAGGCGAGAGGCAGCGAGGCAAGGAAGTTGCATCCCATGACTTTAACGAGAGGCGACAGGACGTTTACCGAGTCCCTCTCAGCAGCGGCGTTTTACTCCCGATTAGCTCCGCGTGGTGCAGGCGCAGGCGGACTTCTGCCACCAGCCTCCCCTTCCCAGCCAGTGCTTCCATATGGCAGGAAGGGGCCGGCGCCAGAACAGCTGCAGGGGCGCAGGGGCTTGCAAACTGCCAGTGCTCAGGGGATTCAGCCCAGCGGGGTGCGATGGCTTTCTCCAAAGACAGGGAGACATCGTGGCCGCCTCGCCCCGGGCTTGCGCCGAGGGAGGGAGACAGCTGCTGCCAAGGCAGAGCGTGGAATCCTAGAATTATAGCTGGAAGCCCCCCACCCCCGTGGAACGCCCTCCCACCAGATGTCAAAGAGAGCAACAACTACCAGACTTTTAGAAGACATCTGAAGGCAGCCCTGTTTAGGGAAGCTTTTAATGTTTAACGGACCACTGTATTTCAATATTTTGTTGGAGGCCGCCAGATGGGTGGGATATAAATAATAAATTATTATTATTATTATTATTATTATTATTATTATTATTATTATTAATATCCCACCCATCCGGCTGGGTTTCCCCAGCCACTCTGGGTGGCTCCCAAACAGATTAAAAACAAATAAAACATCAAACATTAAAAACTTCCCTAAACAGGGCTGCCTTCAGATCTTTTAAAAGTCAGATAGTTGTTTATTTTCTTCACATCTGATGGGAGGGCGTTCCACAGGGTGGGTGCCACCACCAAGAAGGCCCTCTTTGTGGCCATTTAGGGCTTGAAAGGTCAGCACCAACACTTTGAATTGTGCTAAGAAATGTACTGGGAGCCAATGTAGGTCTTTCAAGACCGGTGTTATATGGTCTCGGCGGCCGCTCCCAGTCACCAGTCTAGCTGCCGCATTCTGGATTAGTTGTAGTTTCCGGGTCACCTTCAAAGGTAGCCCCACATAGAGCGCATTGCAGTAGTCCAAGCGGGAGATAACCAGAGCATGCACCACTCTGGCGAGACAGTCAGCGGGCAGGTAGGGTCTCTGCCTGCATACCAGATGGAGCTGGTAAACAGCTGCCCAGGACACAGAACTGACCTGCAAGCTGCTTCTTCCACAGTTGCAAAAACAGTCACTGTCAAAGTTTTGCTTTTTAAATGGATGGGAGGGAGGGAGAAAAAGGAATAAAGCAATGCAAGAGCAGAAACAGGGAGCGCTAGAGAAGGGGAGCAGAGAAGTAAGTTTCTGCTCTCCCAGCTGCGGTGGGCCAGGGCCTCGTGCTTTAGATTTTAGGGAGCTGGGAGTTTATATATAGCACACCTTGGCCAGCGAGAACAGAACATCACCTGCCCAGGCTTTTTCAGCACGCTCAGCAACAGCGACCAAAGGCTGACCTGCCGCTGCCACACTCCCTGTGGCTCAGCCCTTTGTTGAAACTGTTCTTCTGGGGCTGCTCTGAGCACCTTTTTTTGGAGAGGTTTTGTTCCTGGCCCAACAGCAGGGGCTCGGCTAAAAAGGCCGGAGAGCAAGTCATGTTTCTTCAGGCCCTTGTGGTGGTGGGTGGGTGTGTTTCCTCTCCTCTGATATCTCTGACCTTCTAACGCCGTGTTCTTCCGTGTCCCCGTTTGACCTCCAGGTGCGCGCAGATGCCTCAGAGGTGGGAGCCAAGGAGAAGACTATGCACTTCCAACAATCCTCCCACCCCCTTTTCTATTTTTAAAGAGATTAATGAGCATTCTTTGGGAGAGAATGTGGGATGGAAGGGCCCCAACGAGGGAGGCTGGAGATCTGATTTCTTTGGGGGGGAGAGAAGCCTTCAAAAAAACCCAATAGCATTGCAATGCGAACGAGGCTACTCATCTCATTCCCCCAAAAGTAGTCTTTGCAACCCTGGTGCTCCCCAACTGTTTTGGACTACACTCCCGCAGACAGCACAGCCATATTGTTGTGAAGTGTGTTTTTCTTTGGTGGGGGTCAGTTTGGATGATGCTGAGAGTCCCTTCTGATTATCATGGTCCTCTACCCTGAGATTCCTGCCTTGCAACGGATTAGATTATACGACCCCTTGGGTCTCTTCCAGCTCTACAGTTTGATGACTAAGGTCTCAGGCTCACCCAAAGGGTGCTGACCCTTCTGAGGCAAAGGTGCAAGCGTGGCATGGGGGTAGGAAGAAAAAATGTTTGGGGGCAGACTTGTGTGTGCTGGAGAATGCAGAGAGGCCTGGGGGGAATTAGGAGGGGAGTTTGCATAGTGCAATGAGGGATTGCAGAGTACAGAGTTCGAATCTCTGCACAGCGAGGACCACTGCAGTCTTCCCTGAGCCTTCCTATTTGCAAAAGGGGGGGGAGAGAGAAGGGATAGTGACCTACCTTTCACGTACGATGGAGATCAAGCGGGTGAATCCCTTTGTCTTTCCAAAGCACAGAAAAAGCTGCCTTTTCATTTACGAACCAATTTATTTAAAGCCATTTTGACCCTGTTCTTCAGCCAAAAAGGCTCCCAGAGAGGCTTACAAAATATGGTTTAGAAAAACAGCCCCTGCCCGCAGGCTCACAATCTAAAAGACGCAGCCCAGAAAGGAAGGGTCTTCACCAGGCATTATCAGCTGGCGGCTGCTGCTGCGGACTACAACTCCCATCAGCCTCAGCTCCACGTGGCCAGGCTGGCTGACGAAAGCGGCTGTCCAAAAGCAGCGGGGAGGGGGCACATGGCCAGGTGAAAAGCTGACCTGCTCTGGCGGGCAGCAGCAATCCAGCCTCTCGGGACCAGAATGGTCTCCGCTGCTCCCCATCACGGGATTCCCTTTAAGCATAGCTGTCAAGCGTCCCTTATTTGGCGGGAAACTCCCTTATCCCAGCGCTGTCCCTTATTGATGATGTCCCTTAAATTTCCCGGGTTTCAAAGGAAGCAGCTCCTCTCCCTCCCTCCCTCCCTGCCGACCAGGGAGGAGGGAGGCTCCAACTATGTTGCTTGGCTGCGTTGCTCACCCAATAAGGAGTCTAAGAACGACTGGGGGGTGGCGCTTGCATGCCTTGTGCTGATCAAATCGGCCGCATTGCCTGGGGACTCGCTTTTGCTCAGCGCTTCCCAGCTGAGAGGGGACGGTGGTTTCCCTTGCTGCATCCCCTTTGCCGGGTTGCTGCGCTGTGGGAACCACCGCTTGAGGCTTCATTTGGCTGCTGGCTGGGCTTTCTGCCTTTGGCTCGGAGGGGCTCAGAAGCTGAACATACCTGTGCTTGGAAAATCCCTTATTTTGGATGCTGATCCCTTATTTTCGAGGCTGCTGGTCCCTTATTTTCAAATAAGTTGACAGCTATGCCTTTAAGTGGGGTTGCTGGTGCATGGGCTCCCCCACTGAGCGACAGGGAGCCCCCTCTATGGAGGGACACTGGATGCCATCTCTGCCTCTCAACGAGCCAGGGTGAAATGAGAGCGGGAAACCTCAAGCAGGCAGCCATGTCCACCACAAACAGGCCCCTGAAGATAGCCCCCCCCCCCGCCAGGCTGAAAAAAGGGCTCTGGTCTCTGTTGGGGCTGCAGACTTCATTTTGCCATTTCTTGTGGTCCTTCTGGGACGGAGCCCTCCTTGCCTGAGCTCAGTTTACAAGGGCGTTTCCTTGGAACTGTGTGCTGATCAACACTATAAATGAAAGGGGGGGCTGTCGTGGCCTTTGGTACCTCCGTGGTCCTCCTCCCCATCTTTTTAATCTGCAACCTCAAGGCTAGACTACACCACTGCCTGCTCCAGGCCTGACGGCCCTTGAAGGTGCAACGCAAAGGGAACTGCCTTTTTTTAATAAAAAAAAAGTATTATCTGCCGTCCTGGGCTCCTTGAGGAGGAAGGGAGGATATAAATTTAATAATAATAATAATAATAATAATAATAATAATAATAGCAGAGAGGTTCCCAATGGCCCATCCAGCCCAGGCTCCTGTTCTCACAGTGGCCAACCAGGTGCCTTGATGGGAGACCCCCCCAAGCAGAATTCGAACACAAGATCAATACTCTCCTCTCCTGTGGTTTCCAGCAACTGGGATTCAGAAGCACGGCTGCCTCTAGCTGTGGAAGCAGAGCAGAGCCAGGCCTGGGTGTGTGTGTGTGTGTGTGTGTGTGTGTGTGTGTGTGTGTCTATCTAGCTCAATATTGTTTGCACTGGCTGGCAGCAGCTTCTCCAAGGGTTTCAGGCTTCTCTCTGAGACCCCAGTGAGGGTTGAAGTCCAGGCCTTCTGCAGGCAGAGCAAATGCCTGCAGCTACAGCCGTTTGCCTTAATGCAACGCAAGGTTCTAGTCCTCATGCTTCCGAAGGGCTGGCTGACACTGGAAGCCATGGCTCTGCATTGTGGGCACGGACGGCAGCTGCGCCCCAGAGAGCTTCTCCCACCCCTCCCCAGAGATGCTGCTGGGAGCTGAACTCAGTCCCTTTGGCTCTCCCACAGAGCCGGGTCTCCTGGGTCAAAGCACCCCACGCCCCCCATCTTCCGCCAGCAGGGAGGCCCCCACATGGATTCTCTGGTGAGACCACAGAGCAGGAGCTGTTGGTACGGCCGCCTCTCGCGGATGCATGAAACCGAAAGGGGGCTTAGGAGAAGCTAAGCAAGGAGGCGACTTTATCCATGGGCTCCGTTGCAAAGCCCTTCTATCCAGGCCACGGGGTCATCCGCCATCCGGAAGCCTCTCTCAGTGGATCCAGGAAAGCAGCAGGGACCGAGCACCAGGAAGAGGGGAACCCCCCACCCCAGATTCAAAATCCTTAGAAGAAGCCAGAAGCCGGCAGATGATGTCATTAGTGCAAATTAACATTTATAATGGTACGTTCTTTAATAGCATTTAAATAAGGCTTTGAATAATTACACGCACTAAAAACTAACATTCCAGAACCGTTTTCCTTTCCCCCGCGTGGAAGTGGGCCGAGGCACCTTTCCTTATGCCATGAGAAGTCCAAATCTGAGCTATTACATTCAAGAAGAAGTGACTTGGGGGGCGGGCCGTGTGTGGGAAGCAACACCCCATCGTTTTGGGACGTTTCGTCACTGTTTGCAAAGCCGCCTCGGTCCTTCTGGGTGAGCAAAAGAAGAAATGCAGCAAATGAAAATGGGACCGCCCCCCCCCAGCAATGGAAAGGAAGCCACAACACCCCCACCCACCCACCCAAAAAAATCCCCTTCTGGAACTCCTCACACTCATGACCTCGGAGTCAAGGGAGGGAGCTCCGGGAAGAAAAAAGCAACAGAAGATTGACACGGAAAAGAAGGTTGCAGAAAAAGGAGGAAGAGGGGGAAACCCCGGAAGTGTGGCTTCAGGTATTCCTTAAAAGCAACACACAGGCCAGAAAGGGGGAAAGTAGCAGCAAACGAAACAGTGAGAAACTGCCCCATCCTGCAGAACCAGGAAGAAGTCTGTATTTTGTCCTCCGCGAATCCAATCTAAGCTGGATATGTTTGTTTTTTAAAAAAAGATTCCAAAAAGGGGAGTGGGAGGGAGAGGGTCTTGGGGTGGCGGTGAGCCAAGGCTCAAGTCTGAAACTGGGGTGGGGTGGGGAGAGAAGCCGTCCCTCAGAAGAACTTGTCATCGATCCGGAAGTGCGGCCGCGTGACATCGTCCGGGTTGATGAAGACGGAGATGGACTTGCCCGGGTTCTCGGTGACCAGCTGCTGGAGCTTTTTGGCCAGCCGGTCGTCGGGCTGGCTGGGGTCTCCGCCATCCGACTGCGGGGAGGGGATGCTGGTGGTGCTGCCCCTCCGCTGGAGCTCCAGCGTCAGCCGGTTGGCGGCCTTGACGTGCTCGATGGCAGTCCGGAGGTGCTCAGCCGGGTCCGAGCGCACCGAGGAGAGCTTGCGGGCATGGAGCATGGCCGTCTCCTCGGAGAGGTGCTCCAGCATGTTGCACTGGGGGATGAAGTAGTTGGGGCACATCTTGTTCACCAGGCAGTGCTGTAGGTCGTCAATGAGGCCCAGCAGGAAGTGGGCAGCGTAGTCCTCCTGCGCCAGGTAGCTGGCGGGCAGCCGGTCGCAGGCCCAGAGCATCATGCTGCGCAGGTGGTAGGGGCTGATGGCCTTGGGGCGCGAGAGCAGCTTGATGATGATGGCTTTGCACGCCTGGTAGGCCTGCATGAGGCTGCCGGAGATGCACTTTTTCAGCTGGACCTCGCTGCGGGCGAAAGACAGCCTCCACTCGTTGTCCTTCCGCCCTTTGTAGGAGCAGGCGGGGACCAGGTAAAACCCGCTGATGACCTCCTCCTCGGTGATCTTCCCGTCCCAGAAGTGGTTCTCCATCAGCCAGCTCTGGGCCACGGCCGGCCAACCTTTGAAGGACACGACGGGGACAATGTCGTAGAGCATGCGGCTGCTGCCCACCCCCAGGATGATGGAGATGATGGTCCCGTTCTTCTCCACCTTCTCCACCCTGGGCATCCCCCTCTGGGGCTTCTTCTGGATCTCGGACAGGACCACGCTGATGGAGTCGTGGAACCAGTCGGCCACCTTGGTGGGGGAGAAGAAGTAGTTGGTGGCCCCGTTGATGTGGTCCACGATGGTGCAGCAGTCCTTCCACTTGCTGATGGTGCCCTCGTCAAAGAGCCGCAGGCTCAGCCACGAGTGGCACAGGGCCGAGTGGCGCATGTCCAGGGTGACGGGCTGGTTGCGGTCGTGGAGCTTCAGCGCCGGCACCAGGAGGGTGAAGTCCATGTCGTAGTCGGTGCCACGGGCGTAGATGTTCAGGTCGTCCAGGTCCAGATCCACCACGCCTTCCCGGACACCCCCAGAGAGGAGCAAGTACTCATTGGCAACCGGGAGCTTTTGGTCAAGTTTCTGCACCATGCCTGCAAAGAGAAAGGAGGAGAAGTTCAGAAAGAGGAGAGAAGGGCATCCTCAGCCTCACTGGTTTGCTATAAGATGGCAGCGGAAAGTTAATGGACTATGCAGAACTAAATAAACTAACAGGAAGGATTCGAAACCGGTGGGACCAGAAATTCACGAAGACTGGAGTAAATTTACAGACTATTTGAAAAGTATTTGTGAAGATCAGACAAAGTTTTTAGGTTTGCAAGAAGTTTTGTGAGGAGTATTATTGGAAGTATTGCAAAAATGGAGAAGGGGAAGGACGATTTGTTAAGAGATGTAAAGGCAATATAAAGTTAAGAAATGCAAAAGAAGTGGTTAAAATGGTGGATCATCAGAGGTGCTGATGGAAGTCTAAAAAGATTGTATAAGTGATAAGTCTTGTGGTACATTTTATAATTTATATGTTAAAATCAATAAAAATTATTTTTTTAAAAAAAGATGGCAGCGGAAAGACCTTATGCCTTTCAAGAGCTCACGCTTGTAGGGAGAATTAAAATATGTAATGGGAAAGGAAGTAATAAAATGCACCATGGAAAGGGGAGAAGGGGAGTCAATATTAATCGTGTTGTGGTTTTTTTTGAAATGTTATTGTTTCAAGTCTAAATGAAAATGAATTTAAAAGAGAGAGAGTTAACCCTTCTGCTGGAGAGGGTGTCTGCCTAAAGGCACATTCCTCCACATGGGGTGGGAATGTCTGCTGCTCAAAGGTTGCTGGACCCAGTTTTTCCCATTGTCATCCACCATGAAGGGGCAACATCTTCACCTAATCCCATGTCAATGGGAAATGGTAGCAATCTAAGCGTTAAGCACAAAGAGTTACAGGAATTGTACAATCTGCGTCTGCTGCAACCTTTATAGGGATATTAGATCTTGTCTGTTCTCTACAGTTGGGGAAGTTGGGTGGTTTTTATGTCTCTGTTTTTTTCATGGCAAATTCCAATCCTACAATCCAGCCAAGATCCTTGCTGTGGTCATCAAAACTAGGTCACCATTATTAAAGGGAATATGAGCTTCAAGTTCCAATCGCCTGTATTTTTAAACTATTTACAGATGCACAGAATTGTAGTCCATCCCCTGCAATGTAGGAATTGCAGCTTTAGTATGTCTTAAATTATCACGGTCAACTGGATAATTTTACTGTTTTTTGTTTTTTTAAAGATATTTATTAAGATTTTCAAAATGTTACAAAACAAAAACAAAAAAAGAAAAAAGTACAAAAATAAAAATGGCTAAAAACAACTCAATCTTTCCATTACTTATTTTTCATTAGCTTATTTCCGGACCTCCTCACGCCTCCCTTTTTTGTATTCCAGTTCAGTTTGTTGGTTCAGCAAATCCTTACCCTCTTTGTTTATCCTAGTCCTTAATCTTAAAGTATTGTAACATTAAATTTTTACCTATTAATAATCCATTTTTCATATTCCCTTATAGTATTACAGCTGAAAACCACTTAATTTCTATCCAACATCATTCTAACATTCATTAATTTTACAATATTTCTGTAGATAGTCCTTAAATTTCTTCCAATCTTCTTCCACCGACTCTTCTCCCTGGTCTCGGATTCTGCCAGTCATTTCCGCCATGTTTTCTCCCCTTTTGTAAACCGTTTTTATACAGCGGTGTGTAAATGTTATATAACAAATAAATAATTGGCAGCGTTGGGGAACTTCTGGTCTGCTGGTCAAATTAGGCCGTAAAGATGGGCACTGGTCTGGATGCTTGCTTGGTTCACTTTGGCGTTAGTTCAGGTGGTACGCATCAGATCTATTAGATCAATCTGTCTCTCTATCCCGGAGGCACTCTGGCCCCATTTACCCCCCAGAAAAGTCCCAATGAGAAGACCGGAACACACCCTCTCCTCACAGCGGCCAACCGGATGCCCATTATGGGAAACCCACAGGCTGGATTCAAACACAACAGCAACATCCTCGCCTTGTGCGGTTTCTACCAAGTGACATTCGGAAGAATTTGCTGCCTCTGACAGGGGAGTGAGAACCTAGCCCTGAGAGTTAGGAACCTTTCTCTCCTCTATGAATTTTTCGCATCCTCTTTTAACGCCATCCAAGCTGGTGGACATCACTGCCTGTTTCTTCACACAGTGCCTCTGGAACTCCCTGCTGCAGGACACAGTGGTGGCTGCCAACCGAGATGGCTTTAAAAGAGGATTAGAGAAATTCATGGAGGAGAAGGAGGCTGCCAAGGGCTCCCAGCCAGGATGATGATGATGATGATGATGATGATGATGATGATGATGATGATTATTATTATTTTATTTATACCCCACCCTTCCCGGTTCAAAAACTAGGCTCAGGGCAGCTAACAACAAATTTAAAACAATTAATTATAAAAGCAGCATAAAATACAGTATAAAAACATGAATAACAATAAAAATCAAAAATCAAAAATCAATTAGATAATCCCCAGGGCTAGCTGACTGAATTGGTCCTACTTGGGCCAGTGAGGAGGCCAGGGGAGAATTAGCTGTGGGGTCTCAGAGCGGGTAATCTTCATAAAGGGAAGGGAAGGGAGGGAAGGAAGGGAAATAAAAGATCAGGCTGCATTCAAATTAAAGGCCAGGCGGAATAGTTCTGTTTTACAGGCCCGACGGAAGGAGGTTAAATCCTACAGGGCCCTGGTCTCCTGGGACAGAGCATTGCACCAGGTCAGAGCCATCACTGAGAAGGCCCTGGCCCTGGTGGAGGATAGTCTGACTTCCTTAGGGCCCGGGACCTCTCAACTATGGTTATACATGGACCTTAAGGTCCTGAATAATGGCTCGGCTCTGCCTCCACTGTCAGAGGCAGCGATGCTTCTGAATCTCAGTTGCTGGAAACCTCAGGAGGAGAGAGGGTTGCTCTTGTGTTCGAATCCTGTTTGCGGGTTTCCCATTGGAGGAGCTGGTTGGCCCCTGTGAGAACAGGATGGTGGACTCGATGGGCAACTGGCCTGATCCAGCGGGCTCTCCTGATGTTCACAGAGGACCAATAGGCCCCTTGTTAGGCTAGCTCAGCTGTGCGTGCTTCATAAGGCGCTGCCACCGCCACCCTCCTCCCTCCCAGGCTGGGTGTCGGAACAGCATTCATGCGCTCAGAGAATCAAAAGTGGAGAGACTGAAAAGCTTGTCAAGAAATCCACCCACAGAGCTGGCGCTTTGATCATCTGGGACGCTTCCCCTCCCTGCTTTTTTCAATTTGCAGGGAATTAAATCTTCAAAACCAGGGCGGTTTCAGGCTCGGAGCTCCGCGATCGATCGCAGGCACCCGACTCCAGAGGCCAAGGCCACATGTCAGTTGTATTTAAAACCTGCTCTCTCTCCAACCCATTGACCTAAACTATTTTCTGCAGGAGATTGCCTTACAGGGCGCCACGACCTTGCCCTCTCCCTTTTGTCCTCTCGGACAACTTCTGCAGGCTTTTTAACCAGAGCAACAGAGCACCAGATTGGCGGGCAGAAAAGGCCCGGGTTCAAATGCCACCAGCGGCAGTATCTGCAGGAAGGAGGTGGGAGAAGAAATCTCTCCCTTCTGCCCCTGCAGTTCTATGATTCTAGGTGAGCTGTTTTTTGCCTCCTCCAGAGTAACTCAGAAATGACTACTGAAATCTGGTGCTCAGGAGAGTCAGCCTTGCACCCATTCAGCGCACTTTTGCCTTTTGAGACTATGTGTACGCGAAGAGCCCTGCACAAAGAGCCCAGTTGTCAGGCGACAGATCAAGTTTCTAGTCCCTCTTGATAGGTGAGGTATAATCGAAGCCTCCCCAGGCCACTTAGATGGAGGGGTGGGTCTATCCCAGTGCGTTCCCTCTCCTCTGCCTAACCCAGGCATGTCCAAAGTCCGCTTTGGGGGCCTAATGCGGCCCGCTGTTCGGTTTAATCCGGCCCCTGTGGCAGTTTATTTCCTGGGGTAAAAGGTAAAGGGACCCCTGACCATTAGGTCCAGTCGTGGCCGACTCTGGGGTTGCGGTGCTCATCTCGCTTTACTGGCCGAGGGAGCCAGCGTACAGCTTCCGGGTCATGGGGCCAGCATGACTAAGCTGCTTCTGGCGAACCAGAGCAGCGCACGGAAACGCCGTTTACCTTCCCGCCAGAAGGTACCTATTTATCTACTTGCACTTTGTGCTTTCAAACTGCTAGGTTGGAAGGTAACGGCGCTGGGACCAAACAACGGGAGCTCACCCCATTGCAGGGATTCGAACCACCGACCTTCTGATCGGCAAGCCCTAGGCTCTGTGGTTTAGACCACAGTGCCACCCGTGTCCTAAATACCCTTTAAAGGTAAAGGGACCCCTGACCATTAGGTCCAGTCGTGGCCGACTCTGGGGTTGCGGCGCTCATCTCGCTTTATTGGCCGAGGGAGCCGGCGTACAGCTTCCAGGTCATGTGGCCAGCATGACTAAGCCACTTCTGGCGAACCAGAGCAACGCATGGAAACAGGGATTCGAACTGCCGACCTTACGATCCACAAGCCCTAGGCTCTGTGGTCTAACCCACAGCGCCACTCGCATCTCTATTTCCTGTGGTAAAATCCCTCAAAAAGCTCAACAATTAAATTCTTTTAAAAGCTGAACAACTTTGGGTAAAATCGTTCACTTGTTCACTTCATCACATCTGGCCCTCTTTGAAAAAGGTTTGGGCATCCCTGGCCTAACCCATCTCGAACTGGAAAGAAAGATTAGTGTATGCTCCTCAAAAGGACTCTCCTCTCTCCCCCCCCCCCCATCCTGAAAGCGTATCAATGCACAGACAAACCATCCCAAAACAAATGGCTCAAGGACATTGACCCCAATTCACAGCCAGCTGCATTCTGGAAGTGTTAAGCCGCGAGCCAGACAACTGCAGTTTTAAATTAAATTGGAAATATTAATTGATGTTGCTGTAATTTTGCTTGTGCGTCTTGTAACAGAATCATTTGGTCGTTTCTTGGTCCTGTCTACGTGGCTTCGTAATTTATTTATTTTATTTCTTAAAATGTATACATTGCTAGACTGTAACAAAGACAAACCTCAAACCATAAAATCAAGAAAAAATGGCAACAGAACTTTCCGTATGTTGCTTTCCTCTGTTTATTTTTATGACTTTGTTCCCTGCTCTGGGACTGAAAACACTCAATGAAGAAGAGACTATAAATATTGCAAATAAATTAATACGGGGGGTGGGGGGGAGAGGCTGTTGGTTTCTCTGGAATGTCAGCCTTCCAGGTTAAAAAAAACTAAACCAGAAGTCTGCTGTGGAAAAGCAGAACTTGGAAGGGGAGGGGAAAGGAATTCCGAAATTTCTCCCACAAGAGCAGTGTAGGAGAAAAGGGGAAAGCAGGCAGGAAGAACTCCTTTCGAGGTTCTTACATTGCTGCCTTGGTTTTTTTTGGTTTTTTAAAGTGCTGTTAAATAAACATGCCTCTGGAAAAAAAAGAGCCCTATGGGATGGTTTGAAGTTATTTTTGGGAAACTATTTTTAAAATCACATGCCCAACGAATGTGACACTCTGCTCCCTGCCGGAGATTTTCAAGATGCAACAAAGGGAGCGCTAACACGTGGGTCGGGGGGGGGGGGATCCTGCCAGCATCTTTCTCCCAGCCCTCAAACCCCTGTCCCAAACACACACACACACACACACACACACACAGCCCTCCTGTTCCCACCAAATTCTTCCATTCAGGGGGAGTCAGCAATCTTGCAACGATTTTTTTCCTAAAATAGCAAATGCTGTTCAAGGTCTACCTTTCTGTTAAAAAAAATAAAAAATCTTTATTAAGCCTCATTAAGCAGAATGCTCAATGCAAAGCCAAGCCCAGACAGCTTGTTATTTTAGGAGAAAAGACCGACAGCAACTTTTGCATCTGAAGGAAAAGAGGAAGAGTTAGGAGCAGACCTTCCCCTTGGCACTGGAGGTCAGAAAGCTGCGCTATACTTTGCAACCACGCCAGGGACCAGTTTAAAGCAAGCAGAATATTTCTCTTGCTGGCTGGTGCCTTATGAGGAACGGTTGAAGGAGCTGGGTATGTTTACCCTGGAAAAGAGGATAGGAGAGCAATCTTCAAATATCTAATGTGCTGTCACAAGGAAGAGACTTGTTTTCACCTGCTCTGGAGTGTAGGACTCAAACCAAGGGCTTCAAGTTGCAAAGAAAGGAGATTCTGATGCAACATCAGGAAGAACTTTCTGGCGGTTAGAGCTGTTCCACAGTTAAACCGGGAGGTGGTGGGCTCTCCTTCCTTTAAGCAGAGGTTGGACGACCATCTGCCAGGGAGTCTTTAGCTGAGATTCCTGCACTGCAGGAGGTTGGACTAGATGGCCCCAAGAGGTCCCTCTCCAACTCTAAAATTCTACACTAGGCTCTTTAGACATGCAGCAGAATCAAGCCAGGAGGGTTTGTTTTTGGTGGCGGACACTATTTCAGGCCATAGATTGAAGTTTGGCATTTTTGAACGCTCCCTCGTTGCAAGAGGGGGTGGGGTGGGGAAACAAAGCTTTCTGTATCCAAAAACCCGTGGGATGTGAAACACAAGAGCAGTCAAGTACAACATTCCTAGAATGAATATGTTTACACATGGGGAGGAATGTTTGTCCAGCCAGCAGGTCAACTTCCTGTTTCCTTCTGGGCTGGGACAGACTTCCTCTGCATGTGACTAGAGGTGGGCGTGGCCTCACCTGTGCAGGTAACGAGTAAAGCACAGGGCAGGGCAGCCACCTCTCTCTCTTTGACTACATGCATCAAAGAAGCAACATCTGCTTAGCCAAAGATGCTCTCTTGGCTTCCAGAGGGACTGTCTCCTTATGAGATAGTTTCTAGGTATGTGTTACTTTTCTAAGACAAGTCTGCCTTCTGGGATCCGATTGTGAACAGAATGATGTGTGAGTAAACCTTTTTATACTTTTATAGAAGACTGTGTCATATCTTATCTTTTATGAGGGAATAAGGAGAAAATAACAAAAAGGGTTATTATAGAGGCTTTAGCAAGCCTAAGCAAACACATCCGCTGTCAGTTTACAAAGGGGAATGTTACTCTGCTAAATTGTGAACTTGTTAACACAAGTTGGAAAGGCTATAATCAGACAATATATCCTCTCCTGCATCCCTGAACGTTCTCACAAAACCAAACACCATCAAGCCTGTTTTTCTTCCTGACATAGAGCTCTCCTCTCTTCAGGGAATTTCTCGTATGCACACCCAGCCCACCATGTATGCATGGGCACCTAAATTTAAGTGTCACGCACAAATGGTGGAGAGAGCTGTCAAGGAGGTGACAAAAGCAAGTCAGAATGTAGTTGGTATGAAGCGACGTGATGTAACTATAAAGACATCAATGGAGAATCGGGCAAAATACCCGAAACAGGAATCAAAGAAGGATTTTGTCCCATAATAGTTCACATTCACAGCTTTATTTTATTTTTTTATTCTTGAAGTAATGTAAATGCAACTTTACATGTCATTATTAGTATTAAGTTATGTCATAATAAAAGTTGGTATTCAACATTCCCCTATCCAGTTGCTTAAATGTAGAATTGTCGTAGGATCATATGAGTCACATTTTGATCTAAATATCAATACTATCATCATTAAAAGGATTTTTTTTAAGTACTGCTTTTTGTTGTATCAATTTGTATTCTGCATCTTGTATTGTTCTTTTTTTAAAAAAATGCAATTCCTGCAAAATAAAGCTGAATCGGTCATAAAGTGATGAAAATAGCTGCTTACTTGGCCGTTTTCCTATGTCGCGAAGGCTGAAATTTCAGTTCAGTGGAGGAGGGTCACGATATTAACTGATATGCATGAAAGTTTAGATACAGCTATACAATCCCTACTGGAGTAAGATAAGACCTTTGCAGCATGCATTTTCAAACAAAAAATAATAATTTATGAACCGCCCTAACGGGCAGCACTCAGTTCTCCCTCTCCCCAACCCTCCATCACGCCACAGGGGCAACCCTACCCCCCGAATCCTGAATTTGCACCTTGACCACAGATCTGGTCCTCAGACATTCCTGTGGAGAAAGAGCTTTTTTCCGGCCAGGGCAGTCCAGTTCACGTGTCCTCTGCATGTGGGCTGTGGCTCCTCTCTAGGAGTGAGCGTGGATTACCCTCTTGCGATTCAGTCCCAGGACATCCCATAATCCCTTAAAAATCCTTCCCAGCTTGGCTCACGTTCCTCTCTGACGCCATCCAGGCCTTGCCCGGACAGCTTGGGCCGTTTTTCACGCGCCCCCCAACTGCTAACCCAGGCACACGGGTACTTTTTTCTTTTCTTTTCTTAATTTTTATAGGTTTTCCATTTAATAATATACATTCACATCATTCTGATCCACTTTGTCCCTCCGGCTCCTTACAGCCAATCTCCTTCCTCCCCTCTCGTCTCATGGTTTTCATAGTCAACCTTTGTATCATTGCATTTTTTACATTTTCCAATTCTAATCCATTCATTACTTAGGACGTTAAAATTTACTTGAATATAAAAAGGTAAAAAAAAACCTCCTCATTACGAGTCTTCAGATGTGATGTTAACTGTTTACAGTGATCTTTCAAATATCGAATGAATTTGCTCCAGTCCTTTTGGAATACTTGATCATGCTTGTTTCGACACCGGGCACTTTCTTTTCTTTTATGTTGAGCACATCCTTTAAGGTGGAAGACCTTATACTTCATGGGTAGGCAAACTAAGGCCCGGGGGCTCGATCCGGCCCAATCACCTTCTAAATCCGGCCCACGAACAGTCCAGGAATCAGGATGTTTTACATGAGTAGAATGTGTGCTTTTATTTAAAATGCATCTCTGGGTGATTTATGGGGCCTGCCTGGTGTTTTTTACATGAGTAGAATGTGTCCTTTTATTTAAAAGGCATCTTTAGGTTATTTGTGGGGCCTGCCTGGTGTTTTTACAGAAGTACAGTGGTACCTCTGGATGTGAACGGGATCCATTCTGGAGCCCCGTTTGCATCCTGAAGTGAATGCAACCCGCGTCTGTGCATGTATTTTGAGCGTCTGCGCGCGCGCAAGTGGCAAAACCCAGAAGTAACACGCTCCGTTACTTCCAGGTCGCTGCGGAGCACAACCTGAAAATGCTTAACCTGAAGCTACTTCAACCCGAGGTATGACTGCATTTAAAATGCATCTCTGGGTTATTTGTGGCAGTGGCAGAGAGCAGGCGGGGCTGGTGTTCATCCTGGGGGCATGTCCCCCTGCGCAGGCGGGGGGGCAGCCTCATGGCACCCCACCAGGATTGCGCTGCCAGGGGCACTGCGCTTCCCCCACACTCCTCTTCCTCCACCAGTGATTTGTGAGGCCTAGGAATTTGTTTTCCCCCCTCCCTAATATAGTCCGGCCCCCAACAAGGTCTGGGGGACAATGGACCAGCCCCCTGATGGAAAAGTTTGCTGGCCCCTGTTATACACCCACCCCCAAAAAACTCTTCCCAATGAAGGCAGTTGCTCGTTTCCCCCTCTTGCCAGCATCATGGCAGATTAGATTACATAATTTATTACGGTCGGAGACCAGCTTATAAAACACACTTGGGGTACAATCCCAGAAGGAAAACAAACATTTAAAACAATGTACAACAGTAAATTTAAAATTTATAAATGCGATAAGCGTATAGACACCTAAAACTTTAAGATAAGCTACCGCAGAGAGATGACCCAGAGTCACCCATGGAACCGAGTTTGGAGATTTTCTTAACGAACTAGTTTGGGTCAGGGGATGGTCTGCGCCTACAGATCTGTACACAGAATCTGGTGACCATCCGGGTCGTCTCATGATCTTTGCCTAACAGGAAAAGGTCAAACATCATGGCAGATCCTTCTTTCTACTTCTGTCCCCAAGCCAAACTGACGCATTTCCAGGTGAGGCATTCATGGGAAAGCCAAGCATTATGGGAGCATTGCAGTCGAACACCTTGGAAGCATAGAAGGAAAACCACTTCCGTATGGAGTGTGCGGCACAGAAGCAGAAATCCCCCATTGGGGTCTGATTCGCAAACCCCTCAGCGCCATCTTGTGGCTTCCTCTCTGAACAACACCCCAAGGGGGTTGGGGGGGGGAGAAGAGAGATTTTAAACTTTCCTAAGATTTTTGTGTCTCTTTCTAAGTGTTCAGAATCAGATGGCCTGACTGCATAAGTGCTATGCTAGATAGAAATTTAAACATAAACATGGGAGACGCGGGTGGCACTGTGGTCTAAACCACTGAGCCTTGGGTCGGCGGTTCGAATCCCCGCGACGGGGTGAGCTCCCTTTGCTCGGTCCCTGCTCCTGCTAACCTAGCAGTTCGAAAGCACGTCAAAGTGCAAGTAGATAAATAGGTACTGCTCCAGCGGGAAGGTAAACGGCGTTTCCGTGCGCTGCTCTGGTTCGCCAGAAGCGGCTTAGTCATGCTGGCCACATGACCCGGAAGCTGTATGCCGGCTCCCTCAGCCAGTAAAGCAAGATGAGCGCCGCAACCCCAGAGTCGTTCACGACTGGACCTAATGGTCAGGGGTCCCTTTACCTTTAGGCACGCTTAGAAAATCTCCAGGCCCTTAATTCTTCTTGCCGGGGGTCAGCTTTCTTTGCTTTTCTCACCGTCTACGCAGGTTTCTAGTGCCTAAACCCTGAGGGATTTAGGGGCTGGTAAAAGCCCCGCTCAGTGATCCTGGAAGCTCAGGAAGGCTTCCAACTGGCTGCAACTGTTTTGCCTTCTGACTGATTTAAGACATTTAACTGTGCTCTACAGTATATATTGTTTTAATACGCTGTTTAATACCACTTTGGGGCAGAAAAGGCGTGGATAGATAGATAAGAGGCAGTGTGGAATAGTGGTTAGAGTGTCAGAGAAGGACCTGGGAGAAGGACCAGGGTTCGAATCCGCACCCAGCCATGGAGCTCACTGGGTGCCCTTGGAAGCTAATCGCTGCCTCTCAGCCAAACCTTCCTCACAGGGTTCTTGTGAGGATAAAGTGAGGAGGGGAACAGCCATGTTACCACCTTGAGCTCCTCAGGAAAAGATGGGGGGGGGTAATTAATGCAATCATCATCATCATCATCCAGTAGCAGGCATGTCCCAGCCAGAGACAAAATCCCAGTGATCCTTTAATGGAGCAGAGGCCAAACACACGGCCTCAGGCCCTGGAAACAGCCGGGTCTCATCCTGAATATCCATCCCTTGCAGGCCTCCATCTCTTTTGAGGAGCCTCCCAGCAGCCGACACAAGCCCACCGACACACCCCCCCACCAGAGGAACTGACAAAACTCGCACTATTAAAATTGCCAAAGAACAGCAGCCTGCTTTTTATCTGTGGAAAACTTCTGCACAGACAGTTTTACTTGGTGCTTTATTACTTTCCGCTGCTGAGGCAGCTTTTTTCCTTTCTTCCATTCTGAGGGGGCCTGGAATTTAATCTGTGATATTTTAAGGGTTTTGCTTTCCCCACTCTGTAATAATATTTATTGCTGGCTGCCTTGGGAGTTTGTTCCAAACTTTATAATCGTATGGTTTAGGTTTTCAAAATGCATGGTCATCGATAATAACATTGGGGTTTTTTTGGGGGGGGCAGTCTGGATGATGCCCTGAGTCCCGGCCAATTTTGGGGGTGCTGACGCTGTGAGCCCCTCCGCTATCGTGCTCAGGTTGCACATACGTGCAAATAGGACCATATACCCTAAAAACACCATGGTCTCCCCTAACCTTCATGCCAAGAAACCGAACCCCAAATAAGCAAAGGAACCCCTGGACTCGCACCACTTGGGAGACTGAAATGGGGTGACAGAAGAATCCAGGCTTGCGGTCCTTGGAGGGTTTTAAGCAGAGCTTGGGTGGCCCTCTCTCATGGAAGCTTCAGTTGCAATTCCTGTATGTTGGGATATAGTTCCATTCCACCTTCAGAACAGGCTTGTCGAGTTGTTGTATGTCGCATGTCTGTTAACTTCCAGCACAGTCTGCTGGAAACTTCCGCTGTATATTGCTTTTGCTGTACTGCTGTTTGCTTGGACACGAAGGGAAGCAGACATGTTTTTCCCTTTGTTCCTGAACTATGCTGATGAAAGGTTAAGGGAAGGTAAAGGGACCCCTGACCATTAGGTCCAGTCGTGAACGACTCTGGGGTTGCGGCGCTCATCTCGCTTTACTGGCCGAGGGCGCCGGCGTGCAGCTTCCGGGTCATGTGGCTAGCATGACTAAGCCGCTTCTGGCGAACCAGAGCAGCGCACGGAAACACCATTTACCTTCCCACCAGTGGTACCTATTTATCTACTTGCACTTTGACGTGCTTTCGAACTGCTAGGTTGGCAGGAGCAGGGACCGAGCAAAGGGAGCTCACCCCGTCGCGGGGATTCGAACCACCGACCTTCTGATTGGCAAGTCCTAGGCTCTGTGGTTTAACCCACAGCACCGCCCACATCCCTGCTGAATAAACCCCTGTAAATAAGCTTACACATGTCTCTGTCCACCTCTTCCGTTGTGAGAAGATTGATTCACTCTGCTGATAAGAGCGTGCTCAAATTCTGAAAGTTTTGGAGGCTTGATCGCTGATTGATGCTGTTCCAAGAACCAGAGTTTGCCCGGCTGCCGGCCACTGGCTGGAGCCAGCTGGGGGGCCTACCAAATGCCCCCGTCTCCCCGGAAGCATCCCAACACTGTATTGTGGGGGGGGTTGGACTGGATGACCTTTGGGGTCCCTTCCAACTCTGGGCTAGGGAGTCTAGAGTCAGGAAATAATAACACCCCTGGAGTAAGCAAGCACTAAATGCACACTGTGATCCATCTGTCTCCAGCCTATAGTCTGGGAGTATAGGAAAATAGTGAGTGAACAAATGGCTTCGCTAAATGGTGTAACAGTGGTTCGCCTGGGATTCTTAGACGTGACTGCAAAGCCTTCTGAAGATGATTGGCAAGGATGGCCGCACTTCACGGCCAGATGAAGGCTGCCGTGCCCAGAAACCACGCATAGCTTCACCGGACACGGAGGCGCTGTTCCGATGTAGAGTCTATCACTGACGAAGATGATCATCCAAATGGCTAAACAGCACCTGCACTGCGGCGGAGGAAACCCAAATAAGAGTCACGGTCGACACGGACTCTGTCTGCAAGACACGCAGCTACGGGAAATAAAGACATTTTGTTTGGCAATGTTGTAACTAAATATGATTATATAATAGGTCACGGTTCGGGTGGGATAGCATGACTGAATGTAATATCGGGGACTACACCACCCTGCAGGTCGGAGACTGCACAGGTTGAGTGAGGAGGAGTATTATGATGTGTATAGCCAGCGAGCATCCGCGCCTAGAACCTAGTTGTATGAGAAGGAGAGAAGAATAACAGACCATTGCGTATTTACAGATCCACAAATGGAGGATTGTTAGATGATGCCTCTCTGAACAGATGGTGCCAAGCATGCAAAGGAAGGAGATAGTATAATAGACTTCACCACCCGATATCTGTTGATGTCAAACTCAAATAAGATACAAGGTCAAACAGACTTTCACTAGCTCCTGTAGACACCTCATTGTCCAGAAAGGGAGAAGCAAACAGGAACAGCCATAGACTGGTCCTAACCAATGTTGATTTAATCTGTTAGCAAGTAGCTGGTTTTTCAGCATCATGCCTTCCGGCTTCACATACAGCGAAAGGCAGCCGCTATTGCTCAGACTCACTCTGACCCATGAGCTGACTTCATAAAACTTGTAGCTGCGATCCCATGATATACAGGTAGTGAGTCATGATGGCTGGGAGTTTGTTACAGGAGATATAAAGACACTCAGGCACACCAATGAGACAGAAACAGGAAGGTGCCTATGCCAGGCTGTGGCGGCCGCCCAAGAACTTCTTTAACTGAGTTAAGATTAAAAAGGATGCGTACAAAATGGAAAGGGGAAACCATCAAAGAGGAATTCAAACAAATAGCCAGCTAATGCGTAGACACAGCCAGAAAAGCAGCACAGAATGAACTCAGGCTTGCTAGAGAGGTTGCTATCAAAAAGGTTTTTTATGGGTATGTCAGGCAAAGGAAGAACAGTGAGATGGGGTCACTTGTGAGAAGATGCAGAAATGCAAATAGGACACAGAAAGAGCTGAACTCCTCGTTCTTCAAGTTCACAGTCTCTCCGATAAAGGAAAGAATGCCTGGTTTGGAGCAAATGATTCAGCTAGAAGACAGCCCAGACACCAAGGAGAGGCTAAGTACAAGAATAGCTGGCTAGTTTCCAGGATACTGTCTTCCAGGCCAGAGGGAACTGCATCGCAAGAAGGCAAAGAACTGGCAGAGGTGACCAGAAACCACAAGGTCATCTTGAGACCATCAGGCGAGTCTCCAGACTGGAAGTGAGGCAAATGCCGTCCTACCTTCAAAAAAGGAAGAGATGTCCCAATTACTGCCTCTAAACAGTCTGACATGTCCACACAGAATATTTTTTACAGATCATTACAACAAAGTCAGGAGTACCTTAGGAAGGTGATCACTAATAGTCAGCATGGATTTCGAAAATAAGTCATGTCAGACTGTTCTTGACAGAATTACAAGCCCGGTAGATGAAGGGAACGAGTGATGTAGCCTACCTGATTCAGCAGCAGCATTTGACAAGGCGTTCATAATACTCTGTAAAGAAGCTGGTAAAATGCAGGTCTTGACTATGCCACTCAGCAACTGCTGACTGATCGGCCCAAAGGGTGCCATCGTGTACCTCCACCCTCCCAGAGAAAGGGCCACCCCAGTTTCCTCACCAGGCGACAGCCTACCTGCTCAAACGCTGAACCTGAGAAAGGCCTCATTCTCAGAGATGCTGAAGGCAGCACAATGAGCTTATCTCCTGCTGCAGAGAGAGATCACAGGTGCGCAGGGAGCATTTTGCACGGCTCTTCAAATTCCTCATTAACAAGCTGATCCTACAGTCCGTGATCCGGGGAGAGGAAAGGGGTGTGCGTTCTGCTCCACTCACAGCAGCGCAAGGGGCTGAGCAAGTTTCAAAACGAGACACAGATGGGGAAAAGGGCACCTGGGGACAGGAGGCAGGAGCGTCAGCAGGGAAGCACGGCCGTAGCCATGTGCCACCAACCAGCCATGAATCTCCTGTGCCGGTGCAACGGTGCCACACCAAAGGATGGCGTGCCCAGGCCCCTAGATGCCCAGGAGGAGGCTTGGCTGGCTGGCCCTGATGCCACGCAGGGTGGGTGGGCAGCTTCTGCAGGCCCCCCAGGGCCCAGCTCCAAAGGGTGGTTTTTGCACTGCAGTAGGTGTGGGGAGCATCCGGACCTCCCCAGGCGCTGAACTACAATTCACAGCAGCCCTGGCAAACATGATGATGAAATTTAGAAAGGAGGCTGGGAGGAAAGGCAGGATAGATATACAAATAAATAAATAAATAAACAAACAAACAAACAAACAAACAAATAAATAAATAAATAAATAAATAATTTTATTTATACCCCGCCCATCTGGCTGAGTTTCCCCAGTCACTTTGGGTGGCTCCCAATCAAATGTAAAAAACAATACAGCATTACATCAAACATTAAAATCTCCCTAAGCAGGGCTGCCTTCAGATGTCTTTTAAAGATAGCTGCTTATTTCCTTGACATCTAATGGGAGGGTGTTCCACAGGGTGGGCGCCACCACCGAGAAGGCCCTCTGCCTGGTTCCCTGTAGCTTTGCTTCTTGCAGTGAAGGAACCACCAGAAGGCCCTCACCGCTGGATCTCAGTGTCCGGGCAGAACAGTGGGGGTGGAGACGCTCCTTCAGGTATACTGGGCTGAGGCCATTTAGGGCTTTCAAGGTCAGCACCAACACTTTGAATTGTGCTCAGAAACGTACTGGGAGCCAATGCAGGTCTTTCAAGACCGGTGTTATGTGGTCTCGGCGGCCGCTCCCAGTCACCAGTCTAGCTGCCGCATTCTGGATTAATTGCAGTTTCCGGGTCACCTTCAAAGGTAGCCCCACGTAGAGCGCATTGCAGTAGTCCAAGGGGGAGATAACCAGAGCATGCGCCACTCTGGCCAGACAGTCTGTGGGCAGGGAGGGCCTCATCCTGTGTCCCAGATAGACAGCCGCCCTGGACACAGAATTAACCTGCGCCTCCATGGACAGCTGTGAGTCCAAAATAAATGTTGAAAGAACATGGCTATGATTTCTGCACTGCAGGAAGTTGGACTAGGTGACTCTCTGGGTCTCTTCAAACTCTACCATTCTGTGATTCTATAAGAACATAAGAAGAGGCCGCTGGATCCGGCCAATGGTCCATCTAGGACAGCATTCCTGTCTTCAGAGCATAGCCAGCACGGCTAGTAGCCTTTCATAGACTTTGATCCTCCATAAATTTCTCCAGCCTTCAGCCACCCACGTTGGAGATCATCGCTGCCTCCTGCAGGAATGAGTTCCACCATCTAACTATGTGATGCATGAAGAAGACCTTCCTTTTATCTTTTAAGGTGTGCAGAGGAGGGCAAGTAAGATGATCAAGGGCCTGGAAACAATGCCTGATGAGGAACAGTCGAAGGAGTTGGGTATATTTAGCCTGGAAAGGCAGAGACTGAGAAGAGATACGAGAGCCATCTTCAAATATCTAAAGGGCTGTCCCCTTAAATCTCCTCCTGAGTGTACAGTCCCTTCTTTAAACAAAACCACTGATTAAAGGGGAACAGAGAGGAGAAATGCCACGGGGCATCTGCAAAAGCCCCACTGGACACCTTCCTCTGCCCCGGCTGCAACAAAACATGTCTCTCCCGCATTGGTCTCTATGGCCACAGCAGGCGCTGCAAACTTCCAATAGTTTCCCTTCTTTCCTCCATTGTCTCCTGAGACAGATGCCAACCATGCTTGCTGCCACCGCTGTCTCCTGTCTCTCGTCCAGCAAGCCAGTTGTTAAACGCCTGATCTCAACGAGACCCAGCAAAAACCCTAACAAAAGGGCATTCTTACAGATCCTAGAGCCTCGCAAACGGCCATCCCTAAACTTCAGAAACCTGCAAGTCACGGCTACCAGGTGCGGTCCGAGGCAGGGATCGGCAGCCGCCCTTCCGTTTTCAGCCAGATGGTGGTGCCAAGAGTCCGATTTACATTCTGCACTGACCAAGGAAAAGGAGGTTCTGCAGGGATTGGACACGAGAGGATTCAGTTCGGTACCCAAACGCAGGAGACCCAAAGAAGCGAGTGGCAGAGCCAGGCAGGCAGAAACATTCATGGGATTAGGGCAAGTCCAGAGCCTCGATCGCCAGGCAAATATTCCCTTGACCGGGATCCTGCCTGCAATGGAATCGGCTTCCCACGATCACCTTCCTGCAAGAGCCTTAACTACGGAGCAAACTTCTGCACGGCCCGAGCCAGTGTTGCTCCTGACCGAGGTTCCCTGTCTTAGCCAGGACTTGAAAGCAGAGCTGGACGCTTTCCAAAAGCTTGCAATCCCTCTTAGCATTAACTGTGGTTAAGAGCAGAGGTGCTGGTACTCTGGGCCACACTTTTGGGCAACACCAAAAGAGGTGCCGGTACTGCACACCCTTGAGTACCCCCTGGAATAAAAAGGGCACTAGTCCCTTGCAAGAGGAGGGAGAGCAGTCGGGCTCCTGTGATAAATGCAATGTTTACAATGTAATAAATAAAATTATAATATAATTAAATGTACACCCAGAGTGTATGCCCAGAGTGGCTGGGGAGACTCAGCCAGATGGGCGGAGTATAAATAATAAATTATTATTATTATTGTTGTTGTTGTAATAAAATAAATAAATAAGCAAGACCCACTCCTGACATCTTAGCCCGAGCTAGAAGGCGCATCAGCCAAAAGTGTGAGAGAGAAAACAGAATTGCAGGGTCTCCAACCCCCTGCAATGTGAACTTTTATTTTATAAGTGAACTTTTGAAACTTGATGAAATGAACCTGCTCCTTCTGCTCCTCACTCTGCATTAGAATGGCGGCTAGAAATTAATATTAAAATATCAAACCAATAAGGGATGCGGGTGGCGCTGTGCTACAGAGCCTAGGACTTGCCGATCAGAAGGTCGGTGGTTCGAATCCCCATGACGGGGTGAGCTCCCGTTGCTCAGTCCCTGCTCCTGCCAACCTAGCAGTTCGAAAGCACGTCAAAGTGCAAGTAGATAAATAGGTACCACTCCGGCGGGAAGGTAAATGGCGTTTCCGTGCGCTGCTCTGGTTCGCCAGAAGCGGCTTAGTCATGCTGGCCACATGACCCGGAAGCTGTACGCTGGCTCCCTCGGCCAATAAAGCGAGATGAGCGCTGCAACCCCAGAGTCGTCCGTAACTGGACCTAATGGTCAGGGGTCCCCTTTACCTTTATCAAACCTATAATCTATGTATTAACATGAAACACTTTCTGAAATTGCAGGAGCACAGAAACATATCTGAGAGTTGAAGTGCTTCCCTCTAAAAACAAAAGGAGTTATTCGTTGCCAATGGTTCTATCAAGCTGCATCTTTCAACGGGAAAGTTACCTGACTTAACAGTGTGCAAGGCTTGTTTCTGGCCAGTCTCATCTCCTGGCTGCTGAGCTGCCACCAGCCCCCATGGGTGAATGAGCCCTGGCAGCTGCTGCTTCTGTGCTGCTCCCAAGTAGTGGGAAGTTCCTGGGACATTAAGACCCGGGTCTGGCTCCCTTTAGGAGGAAGAGAGTGTTCTGGAGACTTGTGGGATTTTGCAGTACTACATTGGGTTTATTTGTAAATGTTTTACTGCAGAAATGCAGGCATGGGGGAAGAAGGCTCCACGGTCAATTCTCTGCCTCTGCAATGTGTATCCAAACACCTGCACAAGTTACATCAAGGACTCTCCCCCTAAATCCCCCCCAAAAAAGCTCAACAACTTCATGCACATTCACTTCATCAAATCTGGCCCTCTGAAAAACGTTTAGGCACCCCTGCCCTGGTTTACTTTCTTGGGCTCCATGATCACTGCAGATGGTGACAGCAGTCACAAAATTAAAAGACGCCTGCTCCTTGGGAGAAAAGCAATGACAAACCTAGACAGCATCTTAAAAAGCAGAGACATCACCTTGCCAACAAAGGTCCGTCTAGTAAAAGCTATGGTTTTCCCAGTAGTGATGTATGGAAGTGAGAGCTGGACCATCAAGAAGGCTGATCGCTGAAGAATGGATGCTTTTGAATTCTGGTGCTGGAGGAGACTCTTGAGAGTCCCATGGACTGCAAGAAGATCAAACCTATCCATTCTGAAGGAAATCAGCCCTGAGTGCTCACTGGAAGGACAGATCCTGAAGCTGAGGCTCCAAGACTTTGGCCACCTCATGAGAAGAGAAGACTCCCTGGAAAAGACCCTGATGTTGGGAAAGATGGAGGGCGCAAGGAGAAGGGGACAGCAAAGGACGAGATGGTGGGACAGTGTTCTCGAAGCGACCAGCATGAGTTTGACCAAACTGCGGGAGGCAGTGGAAGACAGGAGTGCCTGGCATGCTCTGGTCCAGGGGGTCACAAAGAGGCGGACACGACTAAACAACAACAAGCCCTAAGTGGAATGGGGCAGGGAGTACATCTCCTTCTAAAGCTCTGCTCCTCTGTTCAATATACTCAGGACAGATCTCCAGCACATTGTCTCCAGCCATTTGCTCCCATTGAAGCAACATCAGCCAGTCATTCTGTGCCACAATATCCATAACAAAGGAAGGCTGCCCAGTCGCCTTATCCGTACTTACATTTTTTTAAAGTCTGTGTGTAAAAACAAGGAAAGCCTGATGAATCAGGCCTCTTCTCACAGTGGCGATCCAGATGTTCATGATGCCCAAGAGCACTTTCCTCTCCTCCAGCAGAACTACTCGGAACAGTACTCTGCATAACTTTAGCAAGAGTTTCAAGACCACATAGAAACCCTGCTAAAATAAAAGGGGGGAGTCTGCAGTACTTGGGGCGGCCACTAGAGGGCAAGCCTCCCCTGGGATTAGACAACATTGCTGTAAAAATATATACCATATTTTTCTGTGAATAACACGCCCCCGTGTATAAGACGCCCCCTATTTTGGGAGAGTCAAAATTCAGAAAATGGGGGGAGATTGCCCCCGTGTATAAGACTACCCCCCTTTTTAACATTATTTTTTAGTTAAAAAAAACCTTAGTATTATACAAGGAAAAGTACGGTATGTTTCTGCATGTGGGGAGCGCTTGCCTCTCGCACCCTCAGGGTTCTTTATTTTAGAAGTTCAGCAATCAAAGCAAAACGCTTTGACATTTCCTAAAGATGCTGGCTGGTAAATGAAAGGTCTGCATCAACACTTATTTATAAATCCATTTTTAAGAAGAAGAATACACCACCAGACGCAACGGAAAAGAATGAAAAGTATAAAAAGAGAGAAGCTGCCTGCAGTTTTGAAGTCTAATGGAAGGCCAGGTCCCTTAGAGAGGGAAGGGAAGGAGGGTCAAAGCTGCTCCAGGAAGAGACGTCTGCAGGAACTGCATCCCAAACCAAGCGGTCACATCTTAGAAGAAAGAGGCCTAAAGCAGGGAGTCATAGACGAATAGAATTGTAGAGTTCAAAGGTGTTACGGGAATTACGGGGGGGAGCACATCATTAAATTAAATATTACAAATATTATTCCTGAATGTATCCTTTCAACTTGACAGCTCAGGGAAGTTACCTAGCTTTAAAAATAATATAAAATCATCTCCTTTCCCAGTTTCCTCCATTCCAAAGCTATTTTCCCCTTGAAAAAGGACTCCAGGAAGTTCCCAGAGGTGACAATTGCTGGGCTCATTGTTAGCCAAAGGAAGCCAAATCTCATCACCTGACTCGCCTCAGGCTCCAGACATGCAAAGGAACTTCTATTGTACTTTTGGGTGGTGGGTACTTAAGACATATTTGTCTATGCTCATAGAATCATAGAGTTGGAAGAGACCACCAGGGCCATCGAGTCCAACCCCCTGCCAAGCAGGAAACACCATCAGAGCACTCCTGACATATGGTTGTCAAGCCTCTGCTTAAAGACCTCCAAAGAAGGAGACTCCACCACACTCCTTGGCAGCAAATTCCACTGTCGAACAGCTCTTACTGTCAGGAAGTTCTTCCTAATGTTGAGGTGGAATCTTCTTTCTTGTAGTTTGGATCCATTGCTCCGTGTCCGCTTCTCTGGAGCAGCAGAAAACAACCTTTCTCCCTCCTCTATGTGACATCCTTTTCTATATTTGAACATGGCTATCATATCACCCCTTAACCTCCTCTTCTCCAGGCTAAACATGCCCAGCTCCCTTAGCCGTTCCTCATAAGGCATCGTTTCCAGGCCTTTGACCATTTTGGTTGCCCTCCTCTGGACACGTTCCAGTTTGTCAGTGTCCTTCTTGAACTGTGGTGCCCAGAACTGGACACAGTACTCCAGGTGAGGTCTGACCAGAGCAGAATACAGTGGCACTATTACTTCCCTTGATCTTATACCTGAGTCATCTTATACCTGAGTCTTGCCCTGCCATGTCTGCTTATGCTAATCTTGTACCAAGGACTTGTCTGGATACGTTTGCCAAGGTTAACCCCTCCCCTTCGAACTGTATTCTGGGATGTGGTGGGGAAGTTTTAAAAGTCCTTGTCACCCCATCTTCGGGGTTCAAAATTTGCTCTTTGAACCTATTGCGCAATAAACTTTCGTCTACAGCTATTTGCTCCAGTTGGCTGGAATCCTTCCTTTATTCCACAGGGACCCGCGGGCTATGCCCGACCAGCTGGGGGACTGAGGAGCTTTGCACCTAGATTTTTCCGTAACAGAAGGATACCTCAAAGGTCATCTAGTCCAAACCCCATCCATGAAGAAAGCACAGCGAAAGAATCCCTAGCAGATGGCCACCCAAACTTCCTAAAAGCCTCCAACGAAGGAGAGTCTACCACTTTCCACGGGAGTCTGTTCCACTGTCAAACAGCTCTGGAAGAGCAGAAAGCAAGTGGCTGCATCTCCCCCGGTGGAGACCTTCAGGTATTGGAGGGTAGCTATCAGATCACCTCTCTGTTTTCTCTTCTCCAGGCTAAACATCCCCAAAGCCCTCAACCGTTCCTCATCAGGCTCAGTTTCCAGACCCTGTGTCATCTTGGTCGCCCTCCTCTGCCCGCCTTCCAGCTTGTCAACATCCTTCTTAAATTGTGGCGCCCAGAATTGGACACAGGACTCCAGGCAGTGCTGGATTTACGTATAAGCTAAACAAGCTATAGCTCAAGGCCCCACTCTCTTGGGGGCCCCCAAAAAAAATTTAAAGAAAAAGAAACTTGGATGTACATTTCCAAAATATAAGATAAAAAACAAATATGTTGTGTAGGCTCCTATGATGTAAGTCATGGGCCCCGCCTGCTAGCCTGCTCCCTCAAATATCACTAGTTTGCTCCTTTCTATATATAGGGTGCCTACATTCTGCATGGACTGGTGTAAACTTCTTAATAGTATTTCACTATTAATATACTTCTTCTTAACTGTATTTCAGTTCAACAGTTACTTTGATAAAAGACACATTCTGTTACGTGCAAATGACTTGAGATACCTATTAGGTCCATCAATTGCCATAGAGCACATATTCAACACACAAAAACAGTGACAGTTTGTTGTTGACAAAGGACAGCTGGACATATAAAGGGCCCTATGACCTTCAGGAGCTGAGGGCCTCATCAAACCTGAATCCGGCCCTGACTCCAGGTGAGCCTGACCGAGGCAGAATAGAGTGGGACTATCACTTATTTTGGTTTCCCAGTGAGCGGATCGGCACCTAACACAAAGGCAACCAGGTTGCAATCACTTTGTGCTCCTTGCAGCTCTGCTGTCACTGCACAGCTGTGAGTTGAACCACGGTTCGGCTTGGCATTAGGTCTGAACCCAGCTTGTTTCACAAACCACAAGTGGGAAACCAAGAACAAACCATATCTATAGTCAATAGCCCCTCTAGAGCGAGACAAGCCAGGAGCCCCAGGTCCAGACAAAATGCTATGGTAAACAGTGGCTTGCACCTAGAGTCTATAAAATTATATTGAAGAAAATACAAGAGAGAAATGTTGTTGGCTGTAATATAACAACCACCCTTGGGAAGTTTTTGCTCTAGAATGGGCGTTTAAACCCTGCATTTCATATACCAAGCCACTGATTATTTAAATACAGTAAAGATTGAATAGAATGCTTACAAAACAGCATTTGCAGTGTCAACGACGAAAGAAGCTGCAAAACTAGTCAGGCCATCCATGGTTGATTCTGCAAATGGCACTTGAAACCCAGGTTTTGCATTTTGCATTCATTTAAATCTACGGAAGAGACTGCTTTGCCCGGAATGCCCAGAGGGCTGAATGCGCATGTGCACCCTCTGGCAAAGAGCAGGCCCGGTTGTGAAACGTCTTCACCACAACGGTGGCTCATGACCCCACCCACAATTCCTGAGCTCCTCTGGCACAGGGGCTGGTGCCTTTTACACTGTATTTTTTTAAAAAATATATTTTTATTAAGATTTTGCAACAAATTTTAACATAATCACTGCTAATAAAAAGAATCACAAATTACGTTTTCAATTCCTGCCCCCCCCCCGGGCGACTTCCCCAAACTTCCCTTTCTGATTTATAACATATTCATTTCTTCTGCTTGTAATGTCAAATCCCTTATATACTGAAATTGAAATTATACCTTATTATTCTATTCTTAACATTTTAACCTCAGATTTATGTTTTCTGTTTATGTCTATTAATTGTAAGCATCTTAGTCAAATCCTGCAAGTGAGTCCATTTCGCCACATTGTTTCTGTATATACATCATACAGTCACGCCTCAGGTTACAGCCGCTTCAGGTTGCGTTTTATCGGGTTGCGCACCCGCCGAAACCCGGAAGTACAGGAACGAGTTATTTCCGGGTTTCGGCGGTTGCACATGCGCAGAAGCGCTAAATCGCACTTTGCGCAAGCGCAGAAGCACCGGATCTCAACCCGCGCATGCGCAGACGCGCTGCTGCAGGTTGCAAATGTGCATCCTGCACGGATCACGTTTGCAACCTGAGCGTCCACTGTGAAAGGTTCCCAAACTTTTTTGAAGTCTCTCTTGTCCTTATCTTTAAGTCTTTCAGTCAGCTTCGCCATTTCGGCACATTCCATCCATTTTTCTTGCCCCTGTTCCATCTTTGGCATTTCCATCTCTGAGCTAATAAAATTCGAGCTGCTGTTGTCGCACACAGCACCAACCCCACACAACCACTTGGCTGCCACACTGAATCCTACACAGATGCTCCACTACAGTCACACCCACTTCCTAGAATTGTAGGGTTGGAAGGGACCCCGAGGGTCATCCAGTCCAACCCCCTGCAATGCAGGAATCTCAGCTGAAGCATCCATGACAGATGGCCATCCAATTTCTGCTTAAAAACCATCTCCCAAGACTGTTCCTCTGTCGAACAGCCCTTATCGTCAGGCTCCAACATCAGGAAGAACTGCCTAAGAGGTCAGAACAAGGCTCTGGCAGGCTTGGAAGTGAGCCAAGATACTATTATGGGTTTGGGGGAGCCAGTCTGGATGATGCCCTGAGTCCTTTCCAATTCTTGGGGTCTTTTACTCCGTGAGGGTTATGATAGAATAGTCTATTGTTGAACTGGTCAGACAAGCTTCTTTGTAAGATGGTAACCTTAGCTGGCCACTCAGGTGTCTCCATCAACATCCCAAAAGGAGGAGCCAGGCTGCAAATGCTGCCCCTAAGTGAGGGGGCCCTCCAGGCTAAGGGGTGGGCCTTTCCTCCAGCCCCCTCACCTGTCTGCCAGGTAGGAGGACCTTAGCCTGACTGGTGTTTGAGCTGAGTTGGAAGCTGGCGACACAGAGACCTGTTTGCTCCGCACGGGATCCAAAGTCGCAACTAACAGGGAAACAAGAGATGGTCGGGTGTTAAGGCTGCAAGGCTCAGGTTGAATATATGTGCAAATAAAGCCATATCAATAAAGTCAAGGCCCTGCGGGACTTGACATCTTTCCGCAGGGCCTGCAAGAAAGAGCTGTTCCACCAGGCCTTTGCCCAGGCGCAGCCTGACTCCCTCCTTTGGCAATCTTCGCAGAGCTCTGGCCTAGTGGTTGCCATCAGTTTGATTTGAGTTAATTTTATAATGAATTATTTTGGTATGTTGTACTATTTTATTGTTGTTAGCCGCCCTGAGCCCGGCTTCGGCTGGGGAGGGTGGGATATAAATAAAATTTATTATTATTATTATTATATCCTAAAGCCATATACAGTCATACCTCGGGTTACAGATGCTTCAGGTTGCGTTTTTTTCGAGTTGTGGACCGCTGAAACCCAGAAGTAAGGAACTTCCAGGTTTTAGCGGTTGCGCATGTGCAGAAGCGCTAAATTGCGCTTTGCACATGCGCAGAAGCGCCAAATCGCAACCCGCGGGTTGCGAACGCTGCAGGTTGCGAACTCGCATCCCGCACGGATCACGTTCACAACCCGAGCGTTCACTGTATCTGAAGACAGCCCTGTTTAGGGAAGTTTTTAATGTTTAATGCTGTATCGTATTTTTAATATTCGGTTGGGAGCCACCCAGAGTGGCTGGGGAAACCCAGCCAGATGGGTGGGGTATAAATATATTATAATATTATTATTATTATTATTATCATTATTATTATTATTATTATTATGACACCACAGGCTCCGCTGACCTCCACTCCACAGAAACCAAACCCTGGTAATCGCCTTGAACCCCCGGTGCCTCTCAGAGATTGGGGTGATGTGTTAACGGTGCAAAGATTAAGGATGCTGTAGGATTCTGGAGCTAGAAGCCTCCTAGGAGGTCTGTGCTGCTGGTACAGCCTCTTCTTCAAGGGGAACGTGGTTGTGTCAAGGCTGAGGAATCACAGGCAAGCAATGTGACAGCAGCTTCCTAGGCTGTGGGCTTCTGGAAGTGTGGGGGCAAAGCCAGGCACGCTCCCCTCCTTCCCCGGTCAAACGTGGAACCCTCTGTGCTCCAGATCCACCGGGAGACGGCCGGCCGCCAGGCTTGTCGCTCTGTGGTCATTCACAGAAAGCCTTGGCTGACTCCAGGCGCACTTGGATTTACAAGACGGACACAGTGGCGAGGGAGCTTGGCCAGCCGCTGTCCCTTGCCAAGGCCAGCAGCCGGGGGGGGGATCCCAAAGGAACAGGGCCAGCAGCCAAGTGGGAAGGAAGGAAAGTCACTTGCCTGGCTCAACCACACACAGCGCAGCCCATCTGCCCGGCTGCAAGGATGCCTGCCGCAAAGTCACAAGGGGGCCTGCCCACCCCCAGTCCTGCTGGGGCTACTGTAAAGGGATGCACCCTGGAATCAGCAGAAGAGGAAGAAGAAGGGCGCCTCAAGGAAGAACCCAAACAGGAGAGGACAAAAGAGGCGTCCCTGTGAGAAGGGCAGGCGAGCAGCTAGCTGCCAGGCAAACCTTTCCCCGTGGGCTGGGCTCACCTACCCCTAGGCCAGGGGTCAGCAAACTTTTTAAGCAGGGGGCCGGTCCACTGTCCCTCAGACCTGGTGGGGGGCCGGACTATATTTTGAAAAAATATATATGAATGGATTCCTATGCCTCACGAATAACCCAGAGATGCATTTTAAATCAAAGCACACATTCTACTCATGTGAAAACATGCTGATTCCCAGACCATCCGCGGGCCAGATTTAGAAGGCGATTGGGCCGGATCCGGCCTCCGGGCCTTAGGTTGTCTACCCATGCCCTAGGCAGTCAAGTCTGATTTGCCTCTGCTTTATAGTCCTGTGGTCTCTCCCCTTCTGGAATATTTGACTTTCATAAGGACCGAAGGACGGCCGGCTGCATCAGGCCTAAGGGAAGGGGAGCATATTGTCCAGGATCCTGAAATCACAGTGGCCAACCAGATGCCCCAAGGGGAAACCTGCAAGCAGGATCCGAGCACAAGAGCAACTCTCTTCTCCTGCGGTTTCCAGCAATTGGGATTCAGACGAACTGAGGCATCCAACCGCAGAAGCGGAGCCAAACCATCCTGGACTTTCTTTTGAGAGCCATGGAGGCAGCTCTGGGGGGCTCTGGGATCATGACCTCTGGGCTGGACATGGGAACCTCAGGGGGGTTTGGGGAACGTCCCTCGCCCTTTTGGCAAGCACATCTTCTGAACATCCTAGCTGCACAGCTGGCCGGGGGGGGGCTCTGCCTTTCCACACCTCCCACCATCGCGTGTGTGTGCACATCGAGGAATGTGCAAGCGCTCTGCGGAAACCCAAGCCCTCGTCACCTGCAGGCCCCACAATGCGGCCGCTTTCACAGCTGCTGCCTCTTCTCAGTCCACCTGCTTGATCCGGCCCACAAAGCAGGGACCCACCCAGGGAGAGGCAGGGCTCTCTAAACCCATTAGAGCCGATTTCACCGTGACTAAGGCGGAGAAGGGGATTACGGCGGAGCAGAGGGGCTTTGTGCCGGGATCGAGGCAGTAAACCTTTAAAGCAGAACAGGGAAAAGGAGGCAGAGGGAGAGAGAGGGGTCCATGGCCACAAATGGGGCCTCCGGTCTGGGCAAGGGTGCCAGCTGCCCATTTCCCTGTTCTTGCCAGATTCCACGGCCGGCACAGCGCTCTCCCAGAAATGAAAAGGCCCTTTAATCCTCTGGTACAAACAGCGTCACAAGAAGGCATCAAGGGCAGTAGCTGAGGGTGCCGGGCCCAGCAAGAGGGATTTGAGGGGCCTTGCCAGGCCAGCTCTCCCCCGGCTCAGTCAGGGACTAGTTGGGCTCCCTCCCTGCCTGAACTTTGCACAAACCGCTGTGCTGCTTGGAGGAAGGAAGAGATACCAATATAATTCCTTTAATTCATCCGAAGTGATTGTTTTCATGCCATCTCACACCCAAACATGCACAGCCCAACATGAATGAATTCCAAAACACTGTAATGATTTTGGGGGGAGGGGGGTCAGCCTGGATGATGCCCCGAGTTCCCTACTGTTCTTGGGATCCTGCATCTGTGGGAGTAGAAGTTCCCAGCCCTCCCTGGAGGTGCGGAAAGGGACTGAACCCGGGTCCTTCTGCAAGCAGAGCAGGTACTCAGCCCACTGAGCCACAGCAAGCCAAATCCTCAGGACCAAAGAAGTCATACTCGGTTCCTCCTCCAGGGTGCCTCCAAAGTGCCAATCCCTCTGAGGCAGGCAGCCTTCCTCCAGCTCAGCCCATGCCTTCGCCAGGGCACCTGTGACTCTGCTGCACTGCCCAGGGCCCTCCCTGGCCACCTGAGCCCCCCTCCTTGGCAAGGGATCCCTGCCCCCAGCCACCCCCCAGCCCTGGACCTGGCCTGGGCTTGGGGCCTCTTCAACAGGCAGCCGAGGACACATTTGTCACTCAACAACTGGTGATTAACAGCGACTTCACAACAGCCGCCAGCGCAGCCTCCTTCTCTGGGCAGAGTTTTATTGCCAGCGAAGGCAGGGAGAGGCTCCAAAGGAACAGATGTCCTCATTGTGCTCCTTGGGGGGGGGGGAGGTTGGAGGAAAGGGGTGCAGGCAACTGGACTAGGGTGGGGATTGCACAACTTCAGCAGAAAGACACACAGACCGCAACTCCCCAGAGTCCCCTTGCATGGACAGAGAGTGGGGGTCAGGGGCAACCGCAAACAATGGCCTATGCACACCCCAGGAAGTCCTGCTCACGCCAGTCTAAAAAACCATCCAGAACAGGATTCCATTTTCTTCAAACCAAGATGCGCTTTTGCAGGTCTCCAGGGTCCTACCCTGTAAGCCAGGGCTCAGCAAACTTTTTCAGCTGGGGGCCGGTCCACTGTCCCTCAGACCTTGTGGGGGCCAGACTATATTTTGAAAAAGGGAAAGTGCTACAAACTCTTATATATAAGCTAGGCACAACATTTTTTTCTCGGGGTGAATGGAGAGCAAAAACACTTTCTGCAAGTCTCCAGTTCGGTTTCCATGCTCTGTCTCTTAAGCCTCCTGCATGACAACAACCACACCCACACACACACCCCTTGCATGAAGGTTCTCTGGCAGCAGAGGCCACAGCAAAAATCTCCAGAGCCATTTCCACCTCCCACCGGCAGAAGGGAGCAGGATGGGATAAATTTGGGAGCAGCGATGGATGCTGCCCTCCCTGGACTTCCGCTGCAGGGTAAATATAGATAGGGATCCCGCCTCTTTGCACAGAGACAGGAAAGACCCCCTGCCCCACCCCCCACCCCAATTGGCCAGGCTTTGCAGGCACTTTCCCTTTCCGTGGCTGACGGTGTTGTAAAACGAGTGCAAAACAGGAACCACAGCATCCGGCTTGGAGAGAGCTGGCCTCGCAAACATTTTCTCTGCAGGGGCTGGTAGTAGTTATTCTACACCTACTTATCATTATTTATGGCGTTTATATCCCACAGGGACACTGGTGGCGCTGTGGTCTAAACCACAGAGCCTAGGACTCGCCGATCAGAAGGTCAGAGGTTTGAATCCCCGCAATGACGGAGTGAGCTCCCGTTGCTCGGTCCCTGCTCCTGCCAACCTAGCAGTTCGAAAGCACGTCAAAGTGCAAGTAGATAAATAGGTACTGCTCTGGCGGGAAGGTAAAAGGCGTTTCGTGCGCTGCTCTGGTTTGCCAGAAGCGGCTTAGTAATGCTGGCCAGATGACCCGGAAGCTGTACGCCGGCTCCTTCGGCCAATAAAGCGAGATGAGCGCTGCAACCCCAGAGTCGGTCACGACTGGACCTAACGGTCAGGGGTCCCTTTACCTATCCCACCTTTTTTCTCCAGCGAGTTCGAGGTGGCAACAGGGTCCTCATTTAATCTTTCCCCCAACAACCCTGTGAGGCCGGTCAGGCTGAGAGGCCTTGCGTGGCCCCCCGAGGTCACCCCAGGGAGCTTCATGGCCTAGTGGGGAATTCGAACCCTTGTCTCTCCCCAGTCCTAGTCCGACACTCTAACCCAGGGGTTGTCATCCTGGTCCCTACCGCCCACTAGTGGGCATTTCAGGATTCTAGGTGGGCGGTAGGGGGTTCTACGGCACAAGCTGAATCCTCCTTCCATCGAGCTCTGGTGGGCGGTAAGGAAATTTTACCATCAAGAAAGATGCATTAGTGGGCTGCAGGTATAAAAAGGTTGGCCAACCCTGCTCTAACCACTGCCCCACGCTGTTTCTCTCTCTCTTCTGTGGTGAAGAAAGCATGTGCGGTTGGAGGATGGATGGCAGCTAACAGATTGAGGTTGAATCCTGACAAGACAAAAGTACTGTTTTGGGGGGACATGAGGCGGGTGGGTGTGGAGGACTCCCTGGTCCTGAGTGGGGTAACTGTGCCCCTGAAGGACCAGGTGCGCAGCCTGGGAGTCATTGTGGACTCACAGCTGTCCATGGAGGTGCAAGCTAATTCTGTGTCCGGGGCAGCTGTGCACCAGCTCCATCTGGTGTGCTGGATGAGACCATGCCTGCCTGCAGACTTTCTCGCTAGAGTGGCGCATGCTCTGGTTATCTCCCGCTTGGACTACTGCCATGCGTGTTACGTGGGGCTACCTTTGAAGGTGACCCGGAAACCACAACTAATCCAGAATGTGGCAGCTAGACTGGTGACTGGGAGCGGCCGCCGAGACCATATAACACCGGTCTTGAAAGACCTACATTGGCTCCCAGTACGTTTCCGAACACAATTCAAAGTGTTGGTGCTGACCTTGAAAGCCCTAAACGACCTCAGTCCTGTATACCTGAAGGAGCGTCTCCACTCCCATCGTTCTGCCTGGACGCTGAGGTCCAGCGGTGAGGGCCTTCTGGCGGTTCCCTCCCTGCAAGAAGTGAGGTTACAGGGAACCAGGCAGAGGGCCTTCTCGGTGGTGGCGCCCACCCTGTGGAACGCCCTCCCACCAGATGTCAAAGAGAAAAACAACTACCAGACTTTTAGATGACATCTGAAGGCAGCCCTGTTTAGGGAAGCTTTTAATGTCTGAGGCATTACTGTATTTTAATATTTTGTTGGAAGCCGCCCAGAGTGGCTGGGGAAGCCCAGCCAGATGGGCGGGGTATAATAATAAATTACTATTATTATATTGCCATATTATTAATTATTATTCCTTTGGATTTTGAGCTTCCTTGTAGCACCGAAAAGGGATCTGTAAGAGACAAAGGAGCTTTCACAGCCTCTGTCTGCCTCTTTCAGGATGGCTGATCAGGCACCAGCAAATGTTCCCCTAGGGCTGAAAGTTCCCTCCAGTTGCAATCGAAGTCATTAAGTCCAAGAAGAAAGTCCACTCTTGTGGACTTATTCATCTCTCTCTCTCTCACACACACATACACACACACACACACACACACACACTTCACACACTTGCCTCCACTCTCCCAGCCAGAAGAGCCCAACTGGGTCTAAGAGCAGCTCATTCAAGATGCCCCTGGCAGATTTCCAAGTTGATTAAAAGAAAAGGAGTTCACTAATCAAGTTCTTACGAGCAGAAGCTAACAGAAAACACCGCTGCCTTGGGGGGGGGGGAGAGCAGGGCTGGCAAGGAGAGTCCCCAGTTAAACTGTGCCCTGTCCCGTCCCCATTCAGTCCCACAGAGAAAAGGACTATATATTTAAAAGGGGGTTGGGGAGAGACAGACGGACAGAATGCCAGGAGCATCTCTTGCCAGCTAGACTACTGCGCCCGGCTCCACAGGGAGCTGCCACCGAACGCAGACTGGGAAATTCAGCTGGTTCAGGACCCCTCCGTTGACAGAGACACGGCAGTCTGAACACCTTGCAACGGGTTGCTTTTAACCTTTAAAAACCAAAAGAGCTCTTGGATCGTGTGCAAGAAAACCTCCTGCACTCTCCAGCCACTGGTGTTCAGAAAAATTGCTCCCTGTGGAGCAATTGCTCCCTGTGGAGGCAGAGCAGAGCCTTCCTCGACAGGGCAGCCCTAAACAGGGAAGATTTTAACCTTTTATTATGCTTTTATATTTGTTGGAAGCCACCCAGAATGGCTGGGGCAACCCATTCAAATGGGTGGGATACTATTATTATTATTATTATTATTATTATTATTATTAACTATGTGGCTTAATTAATTCAACAAAACTGATGAGCTTGATTTAGTGGTACAGTGGTACCTCGGGTTACATACGCTTCAGGTTACATACGCTTCAGGTTACAGACTCCGCTAACCCAGAAATATCACCTCGGGTTAAGAACTTTGCTTCAGGATAAGAACAGAAATCGTGCTCCAGCGCCCCGGCGGCAGCAGGAGGCCCCATTAGCTAAAGTGGTGCTTCAGGTTAAGAACAGTTTCAGGTTAAGAACGGACACATGGAGGAGGAGAAGGCTTTTGATAGCTACTTGACAGGATAATAATACAGTGGACCCTCTGGTTACATAACGAATGTGGCAAACCCAGAAGTGTATTCTTTCGGGTTTGTTGCATGTGCATGTGCAGAAGCAGGCCTCTGGTTACGGATTTTTCGGGGTGCGCACGGACCCCCAGAACGAATTAAGTCTGTAACCAGAGGGTCCACTGTAATAATAATACAGGTGGAAAAGCTCCGTCTTGCAGGCCCTGCGGAAAGATGTCAAGTCCCGCAGGGCCCTAGTCTCTTGTGACAGAGCGTTCCACCAGATTGGGGCCATGGCCAAAAAAGCCCTGGCTCTGGTCAAGGCCAGCCTAACCTCCCTGTGGCCCGGGATCTCCAAGATGTTTTTGTTTGAAGACCATAAGGTCCTCTGTGGGACATACCAGGAGAGGCGGTCCCATAGGTATGAGGGTCCTAGGATCAGGTTTAAAGGTTAAAACCAGCACCTTAAACCTGATCCTGTACTCCACCGGGAGCCAGGGCAGCTGGTATAGCACCGGGTGAATGTGATCTCGCAGCGAAGACCCCGTAAGGAGTCTTGCTGCAGCATTCTGCACCCGCTGGAGTTTTTGGGTCAGTCTCAAGGGCAGCCCCACGTAGAGCGAGTTACAATAATCCAGTCTGGAGGTGACCGTCGCGTGGATCACAGTGGCTAGGTCAGGGCGAGAGAGGTAAGGAGCCAACTGCTTAGCTTGGCGGAGATGAAAAAATGCCACCTTTGTTATAGCTGCAATCTGCGTCTCCATGGAAAGCGAGGTGTCGAAGATTACACCCCAAATCACAATTTTATAAACATCTCTTCGCTGCCTGAAAAGTCCCAAACTCTGCAACCTTTTTCCGAGCCGGCCAGCTGTCGGACTTCAGTGGGGCTGGCCGCAGCCGTGGGGTAAGTGGCTGTGCCCCAGAAGACGTTTGGGTGCCTGTCATGTGACTCCTCCAGAGCTCTGACCTTTGGTGCCCCCGGCCCCCTCCCCCTTTGCAGCTCCAGATAATTAAATCACTTTCACCCTTTGCCACTCAGGCGACTGCCGGCCTTTGCGGCGCCTCTTCCATTTGTTGCTTTGGCCACCGCAGAATTAGCCTGTGGTTTTTCAGGAAACAAAGCTCTCTCTTCCTTTATTCTTCCTTTCCTCTCCCCTTCGGTTGCCTCGAAAATAAATGTTGACCTCCTCTGTCTGTCGGGCGCAGAGACTGTTGCTGCCGCTTCTGTGTCAACTCCCCCCCCCCCGCCTCCTCTTGTGCAATTGCTGTGCAAAAGATGCTTTTCCAGGTCATGAGGCTGGAGCAGATGTGCTTCTATTATACCGGATGAGTCAGCCAAATCTGGCACAGCGTCGCATCCCAGAATATCTGTCAAGTGCTCAGAAGGAAGAGGCTTGCAGAAACCTCGGCCAGCCATCTCCGATGCGTTTGGGCCACACAGCGGCAGCTGCAAATGCCCTCCAGATGTTTTGGACAAGCAGCGTGGCTGAGCTGGCTGGGGCGCCCGGGAGTTGTAGTTCGTGGTGGAGACGGCCGTACTTAAAGGTACTGAGAGGAGACGCAATGGAAGTTTACAAAATGAGACGTGGCGAGGAGAAAGTGGGAAGAGAAACGTCTTCCTCCCTCTCTAATAACATTGCAACCCACAGGCATCCAACGGAGCTGAGTGTTGGAAGATTCAAGGCACGCACAAAAAGGAAGCCCTTCTTCAGGCAGCACAGAGTTAAACTATGGAACTCTCTGCCACAGGAGGCAATGATGGCAACTGACCTGGATGGCTTGAAAAGAAGATTGGTGCAGACGCGGCACTGTGGGTTGAGAGCGTGCCTCCCGCAACCCGAGCGCCCCCTGTATAAAGCCCTTAACAACTTGGGACATATGAGATCGCCTGACCCCTTCTATGCCTTGACTGCTTCAGCTGGTGGAACTGGCCCTGTTACAGGGGCCACATGATACCCGTTCCACATTTGCCAGAAATCAATTCCAAACCTACCCTTTGGAACTCCCTGCCTATTTTTTTTACAGAAAGACTCATTATTGCTGGTATAACCTTAATATTTACAACCAGATGAAGGTTTCATTTTTGGAATCATAAATTTTCAGAGTAGTTTTTACAGTTATATCAAAAATTATTGATTTGATTATACTATTAGAAATACATAGACGGATAATTATGAAATTATTCTGAGGTTTAATAAGTTAACTGATTATATTTGGACAACTTTTCTGCTATACTTTATTGGAAGGAGAAAAATAATCATTTCCTTAATAACAATTTAAACAATTTATTTAACAAAAACAATAACATTATGGCATATGTATCCATGTTTGTTAACTGATGTGGTTAAACAATAATAATAATAAAAAACCTTAGACTGAGTTTTAGCACACATGAAAAACTTTTTAAAAAGTTATTTCCTGATGAATAGCCTTTGGACTATAATGTAACTTAAATAGAAAACTAATTTTAGAAAAATTATTCCTCCAAAAGCATTTTATTTTAAAAATCCAATTTAAATAAAAAAAATGATTTAAATTTTAAAAATCCATTAAAAAAAAAAATCATTGATTTTTATCCACCCTGAATTTTATGCAATAAATGTAAGAGCAAGTCCCCTCCTCTCGGTTGATCACACTGTGGTGCCTCCCTTCCAGAGGATGGTTACCAAACAGGATTCTAGAAAAACAGAGCAGATTCTGAGCACAAGCAAGAGTTTAGATCTGCGGGGGGGGGGGGGGAGAAGGGGCTTTCATCCCAGCCTTTCATCAGTGCCCCCCCACCTCCACCTGGTGGGAAGAGCAGCAGCAGCAGCTGGGACCTGACCTATATTATCCAAAATTGCCCAGCAAACAAAAATCCATAAAGTTGGGGGCGGAGCTTCCTTGCCATCCAAGGCTGGGAGGAATCTGACAAGTGACACCTGTCAACAAAGGAGGCCTCTTCTCTTTTAGCTACAAACTTCTCACCAGCAACCGCGGTACAGTCCTCCCTCAGCTCCCAAACGCCTTAGGAGATGAACGTTCTGGCTCCTGAATGATTGAAAACCAGAAGTGACTGTTCTGGTTTTCGTCCGGCGCGGCTTCCACTTCTGTTCCCGGCAATTGCCTGCGCAACTTGAAACCACTCGGAAGCCGCGCCTTGGTTTTCGAACTTTCCGGAAGTCGAACGGACTTCTGGAACGGATTTTGTTCCAACTTCCGAGGTTCATCTGTATATGAAAGAGAGAAAGAGCTCCTAACACCAGAAGCCGTGGACATCCAAAGAAGCTGAATATTGGAAGATTCAGGATGGATAAACGAAAGTCCTTCTACATTCAGCCCAGAGTTAAACTGTGGAACTCCCTGCCACAGGAGGCATGAGGGCCACCAACCCGGATGTATTTAAAAGAGAATTAGACAGATTAATGGAGAAACGGTGGGCTGCCCATGAGTACCAGCCGTGTTGGCTATGTTCTTTCTCCACAACTGGAATCAGCATTGCTTCTGAATCCCAGGAGGGGAGAGTAGCTTTCGCACTCAGGTCCTGCTTGTGGGGTTTCCCCCTGGGGCATCTGGATGGCCACTGTTAGAACAGGAGGACTGGATGGGCCATGGGCCTGATCCAACAGGCTTGTCTTACATGCCCACAGTTAAAACAGCCTTTTAAGTCGGCGATCAAAATAGCGATCAAAATAGCCTCATAGCGAGATACACAGATAAACACACAATCCCCTATAAACTAAGTTGTTGTTGTTGTTTAGTCGTGTCCGACTCTTCGTGACCCCCTGGACCAGAGCAGGCCAGGCACTCCTGTCTTCCACTGCCTCCTGCAGTTTGGTCAAACTCATGCTGGTAGCTTCGAGGACACTGTCCCACCATCTGGTCCTCTGTCCTCCCCTTCTCCTTGCGCCCTCCATCTTTCCCAACATCAGGGTCTTTTCCAGGGAGTCTTCTCTTCTCATGAGGTGGCCAAAGTCTTGGAGCCTCAGCTTCAGGATATGTCCTTCCAGTGAGCACTCAGGCCTGATTTCCTTCAGAATGGAGAAGTTGGATCTTCTTGCAGTCCGTGGGACTCTCATGAGTCTCCTCCAGCACCAGAATTCAAAAGCATCCATTCTTCGGCGATCAGCCTTCTTTATGGTCCAGCTCTCACTTCCATACATCACTACTGGGAAAACCATAGCTTGAACTATAGGGATCTTTGTTGGCAAGGTGATGTCTCTGCTTTTTAAGATGCTGTCTAGGTTTGTCATTGCTTTTCTCCCAGGAAGCAGGCGTCTTTTAATTTCTTGACTGCTGTCACCATCTGCAGTGATCATGGAGCCCAAGAAAGTAAAATCTCTCACTGCCTCCATTTCTTCCCCTTCTATTTGCCAGGAGGTGATGGGACCAGTGGCCATGATCTTGGTTTTTTTGATGTTGAGCTTCAGACCATAGTTTCCGCTCTCCTCTTTCACCCTCATTAAAAGGTTCTTTAATTCCGCCTCACTTTCTGCCATCAAAGTTGTGTCATCTGCATATCTTAAGTAAAAGAACCCTTAATTTGCCTGTTTTTATTGACTTGGGGCCACTCTGATAGTTTCCAAAGCACCAGAGGGAAGGGAACCAGCTCCTATTGCCATCTACAAAGCTTCCTGTTCTACTTTTTAAAGCATTTCCTCAGAAGAGGCACGCCCCCCATGCCAGCAGCCTATTCCAAGGGCTGCTTTCTACAGCATTAAGACCGGGGGGGCAGGGGGGTGTCAGGTGGTTGAGAGAAGCGGCAAAGGAAAATATGTGGCGAGGGTGGAAACATCCACAGGGGGCATATTCCATCTGGCAGATTCCATCTGGCTGGAGAGACTGGCAGTTGTCGGCTGCGACAACCCAGCAGGCTGGGCTCCCACCAGAAGCCATTTGCTAGTCAAGATCCCCACTGGGAGATCCTGCTTTCACCAAGGGCTCACCCCCATTCCCACCAGTCCCACGGCTTCCCTGCTCTTTGCTGCTGAATTGGAGCAAATGTCTACCTGGTTTTGCTGTTTGCTCCGATTCAGCAGTGAAGAGCAGGTTTTCCTGGGGAAAACAGGAGTGCAAATTGAAAAGCCTTTTGCAGCTGTGCCCAGAAAGAATGGAGCAAGAGGGAAAACCTCTTGTTGTTGTTGTTGTTGTTGATTTTCTATACTGCTTTATATTTTTAATGGGGAGGGATCTCAAAGCACTTTACAACCTACATTAAAACATCAAAGAAATACAACAATCCAGAATAAAACATTACTGAAGAAAGTTAAAGACAAAGTATATACCTTTAAAGACAATTAGCATTCATTCAAACATAATTCACAGGAAACTAAAATATTATCCTAAACATTTTTTTAAAAAAAACACTAAATAGGAGGTCAGCTGCAGAATGCAAAGTTAACAAAATGCTCCCTGCCAGCCCATCAAATGATTGATCTGTCAGTTGAGGAGGGGGCAATTTGCACCCTCGTCTGTTTGCAGCTTACAGCAGCAGAATGACTGGTAGTACTAGGGAAGCCCCCCCGAAAAAAAATCTGGGACCCCCTTATGGTGTCCAACAGTGAAGCAACTCAACGGGAGCAAGCTGCTCTCCTGGCAGGAGGGGGGTCACTCAGAGCAGGCCTGGTTTGGGCTAGAAGCATCTACTGAAACAGGACAAGATAAGAATCTTTATTTACTGATTTTCTCCCGCAACAGATGGCATGGGGGGGGGGAGAGGGTGAATGTTGCCAGGTGGGCATCTGCCTTACTCAGGATGGCGCAAAGTTTTGCAGCTCAGCAAAGACTCCCGCAGGGAAGAAGCTGGAATGTCCCCACAGCAGACAGAAGCGGCTGCAGCCCAGCCATCTCCAACCTGCCGCCCTCTGGGGATTTGGAGTTCAGCTCCCGCCAGCCCCCAGCCAACACAGGTAGCGACACAGCCGCCTTCGTCTGAATGTCAGAGCATCGAAATGCACTTGTGGGCAAAGCACACGGGAAAACAGGAAGCTGCCTGGTACTGAACCTGTCTGGCTCTATACTGCCTGCACTGGCTGGCAGCAGCAGGTCTCGGGGGGTTCAGACAAGGAGATGCTGCTGACACTGGGGAATGAACCTGGGAGGATGGATGGCGGCTAACAGATTGAGACTGAATCCTGACAAGACAGAAGTACTGTTTTTGGACGACAGGAGGCGGGGAGGTGTGGAGGACTCCCTGGTCCTGAATGGGGTAACTGTGCCGCTGAAGAACCAGGTGCACAGCCTGGGAGTCATTTTGGACTCACAGCTGTCCATGGAGGCGCAGGTCAATTCTGTGTCCAGGGCAGCTGTCTACCAGCTCCATCTGGTATGCAGGATGAGACCCTACCTGCCCGCGGACTGTCTCACCAGAGTGGTGCATGCTCTGATTATCTCCCGCTTGGACTACTGCAATGCGCTCTACGTGGGGCTACCTTTGAAGGTGACCCAGAAACTACAACTAATCCAGAACGTGGCAGCTAGACTGGTGACTGGGAGCGGTCGCTGGGACCATATAACACCAGTCCTGAAAGACCTACACTGGCTCCCAGTATGTTTCCAAGCACAATTCAAAGTGTTGGTGCTGACCTTTAAAGTCCTAAACGGCCTCAGTCCTGTACACCTGAAGGAGCGTCTCCACCTCCATCGTTCAGCCCGGACACTGAGGTCCAGCTCCGAGGGCCTTCTGGCGGTTCCCTCACTGCAAGAAGCCAAGTTACAGGGAACCAGGCAGAGGGCCTTCTCAGTGGTGGCGCCCACCCTGTGAAACGCCCTCCCACCAGATGTCAAAGAGATAAACAACTACCAGACTTTTAGAAGACATCTGAAGGCAGCCCTGTTTAGGGAAGCTTTTAATGTTTGATGTATTACAGTATTTTAATATTTTTTGAAAGCTGCCCAGAGTGGCTGGGGAAGCCCAGCCAGATGGGTGGGGTAAAAATAATAAATTATTATTATTATTATTATTATTATTATTATTATGGGGCCTTCTGCATGCAAGGCTGGTGTCCTGTCGCTAAGCTTCGTCCCTGCTCACCATTTCCCAAGACCACATTTGTGCTGTGCTGGACTTGACAGTGGATTAGAGAGGATGGGGGGGAAATGCCAAGATAGGCCAAATGAGGCAGGATTTGAACTCGGAACCTGCTCTTTCAGCAGAAACTTCAAGAAGCCCAGTGCGAAGCCTCACAAGCAGCAAGAACATACATGACCAGCCCCGTGAAAGCTCCACAGACACACTTCGGGGAAAAACACTCTCCTACATATTTCTCTACCCCATAATAGCGCATCTTGTGCCACTGCTTTAAAGTCTGGTTGTGTCAATCACCCATGTTAACAGCAGGACTAAAGAGGTGGCACTATGCCCAGAAACCTGCTTGGCCCCCAAAGTTTTCCGGGGCACCCTGCCCCTCTTGGTTCCATAAACTCATCCCCAGAGACCCCTGCTCTATAAAAAGCATTTTTCAGAACAGCAGTTTGCCCAACTCAGTACTGCTACTGAAGGCAGCAGTACAGAAAAATCCAAAACGGTAACAATGAACGGCACACTTCTATTCAAAATCCAATTAAAACTATGTGGCTTAATTAATTCAACAAAACTGAGGAGCTTGATCTAGTGGTACAGTGGTACCTCGGGTTACGGATGCTTCAGGTTACAGACTCCGCTAACCCAGAAATAGTACCTGAGGTTAAGAACTTTGCTTCAGGGTGAGAACAGAAATGGTGTGGCGGTGGCAGCGGGAGGCCCCATTAGCTAAAGTGGTACCTCAGGTTAAGAACAGTTTCAGGTTAAGAACGGACCTCCGGAGCGAATTAAGTACTTAACCCGAGGTACCACTGTATATGCGTTTTGTTAAATAAAAGGGTAGGGACCCAACAGAAAGAACTTTCTGACGGAGAGAGACATTCGACAGGTGAACAGCCCAATCCCCAGTCAGACAAAGCGGCAGTGCCCAGAGAGTCAGCTGTGGCTGGGTAGGACTCGAACCCATGGCTTCAGGTTATGAGAGAAGAGATTCCGACTAAACATCAGGAAGAACTTTCTGACAGGAAGAGCTGCTCAGCAGTGGAAGAAATTCCATCAGAAAGTGGTGGGCTCTCCTTGCTTGGAGGTTTTTAAGCAGAGATTGGGTGGTCACCTGTCAGGGATGCTTGAGCTGAGATTCCTTCATTGCTGGGGGCTGGACTAGATGACCCTTGGGGAACCGCCCAACAAGTCTAGGGTTTAAGACCTGTATGGAAAGCTGATCATTTCAACACAGAACTTGGAGTTGCAGGTTACTATTCTTCTTCTTCTTCTTCCAAAGCCCAACATGGAAAATTCTGCCCCCCTCCCCCCCAAAAAAAACCCTCTAGTGGCAAAGCAGTTAAAACTCAAGTACAGTGGTACCTTGGTTTACGAACTCAATCCATTCCGGAAGTCCGTTCTTAAACCAAAGCGTTCTTAAACCAAGGCGTGCTTTCCCATAGCAGCAGGGGACTCAGTTTACAAATGGAACACACGCAACAGGAAGCGAAACATGTTCTACTTCCAAGGCAAAGTTCACAAACCAAAACACCTACTTCTGGGTTTGCAGCATGCTTAATCCAAGTTGTTCATAAACGAAGCTGTTCTTAAACCAAGGTACCACTGTAGTTGTTTTCCAGGCAAAGCACAATACTATATCACAATACTATATTTAATGCTGTATTGTTTTTAACACTTGATTGGAAGCCGCCCAGAGTGGCTGGGAAAACTCAGCCAGATGGGCGGGGTATAAATAAAAAATTATTATTATTATTATTACTAGTTTTCATTCTCCCCACGCACTGACCCCTCACTGCTCAAATGAAACTCAGCCTCCGTTGCTACATATCCTCTCTCAAGAAGCCTTGGGCGCAACTGCTATGAGCTTTCCCTGAAAATTGTTATGAGAGAGGGAGAAAGAGAGAGAGGAAGTCCCCCTTCTCCTAAGCAGCAGCAGAACATGAATCCAGCAAATCTGCTTTCCTCCCTCTCTAATCCGCCTCCCGTTTGTGTGTGCGGCACAGCAGACGGCAGAAGGCTGGCCGGCTGCAAGGAAGGAAGGAAAACCAATAAGCCCCAGGAAAAACTGAGCAGGAACAGTAATATTAGGCAGCAGAGCAACTGACCTTCAAATATTACCATTTCATCTATCGCTTGTTTGTTTGTTTCGAAAAATTTATCCACCGCTTGACTGTCGAAAAAACAAACCCTCAAAGTGGTTTATAAAAAAGTAAACTCAAGAGGAATGCACAATGCTTTAAAACATAGAAAAAGTTGAAACCCTAAAACAGACTGAACTTCACATCAGCATTTCTAAGCGTCTGGGTTTTGTGTCTCCTTGGTATCAATAGGCAGGGAGTTCCAAAGTGTAGTTGCTGCCACATTAAACAACTGAGTTCTTGCCAATGAGGAACGGGCATCGTGTGGCACCTGCAAGTCATCGTTTCAATAATTCATTTGCAGTTTATGAAGCATTTCTGTATCCTTCTGCTGTGCTGAAGAAGAATTCTACAAAACGGTGGGTATATCCGGAATCACTGTTCACTACGTCTGTTTGCGGACCACTTTGGCAGCATTGGACGTCATAAAACACAGCTTTACGGCTTGTTTTGACCAGATAAGAATCTGACCCATGGCTTCTTTCAGAGACTTGCATAGTCCACAAAGACTTTCAGAGACTTATGTTTATTTGGTTCTATATTTTCAAGAGAATCCATCAAGAGTGCACATTTTGTGACTTTCAGAGATTTATAAGATTTCTGTTTATTTGGTTATGCAGAGAGTGCATATTTCATATTATTCAATGTTCCGTATAGAATATATAAAGAGTTTATATTGATATTGCATTGTTGTACTTGGTCATCGTGTTGCCTTGGATATTACTGATAATTGTTTACAACACAGGGGTTTAATTGTTTGATTACGCAGTGCCAATTCCGCCAACCGAAGCGGCTGAGTGGGCACACATGGGGTTGAGATGACGGGGAAAAGACGGGGGCAAAAGGCAGCTCTGCTCAGCTGCCACACCATGTTTATTCCCTTCCCAGTGCAGCCCATTGCAAAGGCAACCCGGGAGGAAGGGAAAGAGAAAGAATCAAATGCTTACACTGCACACAAACAGCTCCCCTACATTATGATTATTATTATGATTATGATTATTATTATTATTAATGTAGCGACCTTCATCCTACTCTCACGAGCCTCTTACTTCTTGCAAGGCTAAGCAAGGCCACTTTGGGTCTCAACATCTGTCAGCGGAAACCTGCCTTCCCCAACCTGCCTTTCAGACACTCCACAGCTACACCAGCAGCTCCAGGCATGTCTTTGGTCTGATCCGGCAGAGAAGGGTGCAGCAGATGGTGTGGGGGCTTCCGAAACACCCTCTCCCCCCACATATGGAAAGGCTGGCAAGAAAGATGCCCCCCAAAGCGTTGTGCCGGAGGAGACTCTGGTGGTCTCTTTCCTGCCCCGTCCTGAGCAGAGATGGCAGCTGCAGCAGAAGAGGGAGCAATTTCTATCTATATTCTCTTTGGTTTATGGCTTGATTATTCTACATGATCTATGCTGCATTTGTGATGTTCGTTCATGTTACTGTTATTTCCTGTTTGTAAGCTGCTCTGGGATTCACCTGAACCAAAATCAACAGAGAAAGATAGCAATCCAGTCTAATCCATCAATCCCACCTGCCCCTCATCCTCCTAACCTGGCATCTTCTCTGGGATGGGGGCTTAAGCACGGAGAAGGATGCTGCAGCAGTGGTCCAGGGGAACTGGCACCAGGGCATTGTGGGGTGATGTTCAAGGCCGGTCACGGAGCACCGAGGCAGATTGGCCCGGCAGAGGGGCAACGGGAGGGGCCACAAAGGAAACACCTGCCTCCGCTGCAAGAGGAATGTGCCCTCAGCTAACTTTTTCAATTGCTGCCTTTCAACATTGTTTTATAGATTATAAATCAGGCATAGGCAAACTCGGCCCCCCAGATGTTTTGGGACTACAACTCCCAGGATCCCTAGCTAACAGGACCAGTGGTCAGGAATGATGGGAATTGTACTCCCAAAACATCTGGAGGGCCAAGTTTGCCTATGCCTGTTATAAATGTTTTATTGATGATCAGTTAATCATATAACTTACGTTGTAACTGTGATGCTCAGCTTTTTACTTTTTTGTTGTGGGTTTGTTTACTGTGCTTTACAGATCATTAAGTGTCTTGCTGGTGTTTTGTTAATTATATAATACGGCTTGAGCTGTACCTGTTACACTGGTGTAACATTGGAAAATGTTGATCACTTCTACTACCTGGGCAGTTATATTTCCACAAGGGCCAACATTGATGCAGAAATCCAGCATCACCTAAGCTCTGCAAGTGCGGCTTTCTCCCAATTGAAGTGCAGAGTGTTTGAGGACTGGGACATTCAAAGGGGAAGCCCAAATACTTGTTGACAAAGCTATTGTACTACCAACTTTACTGTCTGCTTGTGAAATGTGGACCAATTATAAACGCCATCAACTCCTTGAAAGATTCCATCAACAGTGTCTCCAAAAACTTTTTACACATCACTTGGGAACACAGGCGAACGGATACCAGTGTCCTGGAAGAAGCAAAGATCACCAGTATTGAAGCAAAGTTTCTTCAACTTCGTTGGACTGGTCATGTTGTGCGGATGCCTGATTATCGTCTTCCAAAGCAACTACTCTTTTATGATTTTAGAAATGGAAAGCGTAATGCTGGTGGTCAACAAAAGAGGTTGAAAGACTCTCTCAAGGCAAATCTTTAAAAATGTAGTATAAACACCGACAATTGGGAAACACTGGCCTGCGAGCGCTCCAGTTGGAGAACAGCCTTTGCCAAAGGTGTCATGGGGTTTGAAGACACTTGAACTCAGGACACAAGGGAGAAACGTGCTAAGAGGAAGGCACGTTTGGCAAACCCTCACCGGGATCAACTCCCGCCCAGAAACCAACGTCCCCATTGTGGAAGGACGTGTGGATCCAGAATTGGCCTCCACAGTCACTTACGGACTCATTGTTAAGACCATGCTGATGGAAGACAATCTTATTCGGCTACGAGGGATCGCCAAAGAAGACCTGTGACACTGTTACACTATTGCCAATTGCTGTTGTTCTAAGAAGCTTCGGGATTCGTTTGAAAGGAAAGCAGCACAGAAATGCAATAAATCTCTCTCTCTCAAAGACCTAAAATCCTTTATAAAACTAAAAACGAAACAAAAAATGGTTGAGGCAAGAGGGGGAGGGGGAGGAGCTGACAGGACTCGGCCCCTGAAGTGATGCTCTGATGTTGCCACCTCCCGCTGCTCTAATGGGGCTTTCACCAGGCAAATAAATCTTTAATTAAATAACACCGCAAAGAGGGCACAATGGCTCTTCTCTGCGGTGGGTGAAGGAACTGGCCCACAGAAGCCCTAATGTGCCACCCCCGCCTCTTTCTCTGGGAAAAGAAAAGGGCGCTGTGACTTGGCGGAGGTCACATTCCCAAAATACCACAGCAGGGCAGCAGAGGGAGGGGGGAGCCAGGAAGGAGATTTGCAGAGAGAAAAGGGAAGCCAGTGCAGCTGCCCAAGGTCTCAAGTTAAGAGGAAGAAGCAGCCACAGGGACTCCCCCTCTGAGGTTATCCTTCCCAGAGGCTGTTTCCTAAGAAGAGCCATTTCATCATCAGAGGCAGATGACAGGGGAGGAAGAACACAACCCCCACCCTTACGAAAATTCACTTGTGAGGGTATCACAAAGGGTATCTCCAAAGCGCCAAACCACCTGAGCCAGGGAGAAAGGAGGAGATCTGACCACAAGCAGCAAACCTCTTAGGAAAAGTGGTTTCCCAGCCCCCTTGCCCAGAAAGAGACTTTGATCCCAAGTGGCACTGTGGGTTAAACCACTGAGCCTAGGGCTTGCTGATCAGAAGGTCGGCAGTTCGAATCCCCATGACGGGGTGAGCTCCCGTTGCTCAGTCCCTGCTCCTGCCAACCTAGCAGTTCGAAAGCACGTCAAGTGCAAGTAGATAAATAGGTACCGCTCCAGCGGGAAGGTAAACGGCGTTTCCGTGCGCTGCTCTGGTTCGCCAGAAGCGGCTTAGTCCTGCTGGCCACATGACCCAGAAGCTGTACGCCGGCTCCCTCGGCCAGTAAAGCGAGATGAGTGCCGCAACCCCAGAGTTGGCCACGACTGGACCTAATGGTCGGGGGTCCCTTTACCTTTACAGAAGCCAAAGAGCAAGGCTTCAGCTTCGTCAGCCCAAGCTGGACCCTTGATGCCAAGGAGAGCTGCGGTTTGAATCACAGTGTTCCAGTGGGTGAAAATGAGAGGAAGGGGGGGAGCAATTTCACAGGCGCAATCTACATCCACAGTGGGGACAGCAGATGTGTGGGTCTGCATCGACCCAGATCTGCCTCAGACACACAAAAAGGAGAGGGAAGAGACAAAGATGTAAGGGACAAAACCCTCCATGCACACATTATCCTCACCCCCAGATGTTTCTCTCTCCAGGCAGCCTCGCTCCCGGTTATAGGTGCCTGGTTGTGGGGAAAAGTAATAGAAATGGAGGGCTGGATGGGGCCCCGAGGGAGCAGGCAGCAGCTGCAAGCATGGCTGGGTGACAATTGTTGGCTTCTTCAGATGCCTCCTACTGTTTGAGGCTGTGCCTACAAGATCTCACTTTTAAGACACTCCCATCCATCGCAGACGCCCTTCTCTTTGTGCATTTCCTTCTGGAACTGCCTCAGTCTCGGTGGAACGTGTGGGTTAAAACCTATGGAACTCACTCCCACTGGAGTCATACTTTTGGCTCGATCACCTTTTGCTTTGGATTCAAGAATGAGGTACCTCAACCCAGAAGCTTTAGAAAGGTTCATGCAGCGGTCACCTCCAGGCTTGATTATTGTACCTCGCTCTATGTGGGGCTGCCCTTGAAGCTGTCCCAGAAACTCCAGCGGGTGCAGAATGCTGCAGCGAAGCTCCTCACGGGGTCCCTGCCATGGGAGCATATTCGCCCAGTGCTTTTCAAGCTACACTGGCTCCCGGTGGAGTAGCGGGTCAGGTTTAAGGTGCTGGTTTTGACCTTGAAAGCCCTTTGTGGCTTATGGCCCTCATATTTATGGGACCGCCTCTCCTGGTCTGCCCCTCAGAGGACATTAAGGACCATGAATAACCGTAGTTTAGAGGTCCCGGGCCCTAAGGAAGCCAGACTATCCTCCGCCAGGGCCTTCTCAGTGATGCTTTGAGAGCCAGTGTGGTGTAGTGGTTAAGAGCAGTAGTCTCGTAATCTGGGGAACCGGGTTCGAATCCCTGCTCCTCCACATGCAGCTGCTGGGTGACCTTGGGCCAGTCACACTTCTCTGAAGTCTCTCAGCCCCACTCACCTCACAGAGTGTTTGTTGTGGGGGAGGAAGGGAAAGGAGAATGTTAGCCGCTTTGAGACTCCTTAAAGGGAGTATCAAATCCAAACTCTTCTTCTTGTTGTCCCATGAGACCAGGGTCCTGCAGGATTTCACTTCCTTTTGCAGGGCCTGTAAGACAGAGCTATTCCGCCTGGCCTTTAATTTGAACTCAGCCTGATCTTTTATTCCCCATCCTTCCCTCCCTCTCCCCGTTTTATGAAGATTACCCGCTCTGGGATCCCGCAGCTAATTCTCCCCTGGTCTCCTCTCTGGCCCAAGTAGGACTAATTTAGCCAGCTATCCCTGGTGATCATCTAATGTTTATTGGATGGATTTCCCCCCAAATTGATTTTTGAATTCTGAATTTTTATTTATTTATTTATTTATTTATTATTCACGTTTTATACTGGATTTTATGCTGTTTTTTTGTTGCATCAATTAGGTGTTTTAAATCTGTTGTTAGCCGCCCTGAGCCTGGTTTTCTGAACCGGGAAGGGCGAGGTATAAATAAAAAATTATTATTATTATCAGTGGAGCAGAGAAAACAAGCCTGATAGTAGACATGAGGACATGAGACAAGAGTCCCTGGCAGAGTTGGAAGGGACCTCAAGGCTCATCTAGTCACGGATCCCCACAAGAAATCCTGTGAGGAGTAGTTCACCACTCACAGAACTGCAATTCTCAGCCCCCTTCGCAAACCGCAGTCCTTTTGTTCTTAAAGCCAGGGTGGAGGGCAACTTTCCGCCCTGTACGCTCACAAAATCAGAGCAGCGATTGACCCGGCACCATTTCCGCTTCTGAGCCACGGCCCTCCTGGATGTCCAGCCAGGGTCCTTCCTAGGGATGCTTCTCCATCATCTCTGGAGCAGAGACAGGAGCCAGACAGTCGACCCGCAGAGCCCAGGCCCTCCTAGGGAGCTGTCATCGCTCCCCTTGCGGCTCAGTGGCGCCTGCTCCTGTATCAGCCTGGCACGCCTGGTCTTTCCCCCTGCCAAACCGAGAAAGAGTCGCTGAGCTGAGCTGGCTGCCTTTCCTTCCATATGCGAGAGAGAACAAAATCCTGAATGGAAATGCAGGTCGTGTTTACTCTGTGACTGCAGCTCAGTTACAGAAAAGGCTTGCTCCACTCCAGCCCCCTCCTCCCCGCCTGCCCCAGCCACCCCCAAACTGCCAATCCAGAGGCCCTTGAACTCAAGTGTCTCCAGGGCTTAATCTGTTCGCCACTTTGTCAGAGATTAGAGTGCTGTTGGGAAGAACGGAACAGGACACAGCTGGAAGACCCAGCCTGACACACCAGACCGAACCACACACCAAGGGGGTCTGCCTGCCCCCCTGGACTAAAACAAAACCTCCTAAAAACAAGAGAAGCTCCCCAAACCCTGATATTGGGGTGTACTCGCTGGCCACAGCCCAAATGCATCATGCCACATCTGCAAATTCCAGACTCTTCAGGAACTATGCAGGTCTGGATGAAGGAGAGATTAGATTAGCAACATTCCTGTGCCAGACAGAGAACATAAAACCATCAGGAGAGCCTGCTAGTCCACTATCCTGGTCTCACAGTGGCCATGCAGATGCCTCAATGGGAAACCATCGTGCAGGATCCGAGCCCAAGAGCCCTCTCTCCTCCTGTGGCTTCCAGCAACTCGTACTCTGAAGCACTATTCTGCCAGTTCTGGGCGCCACAATTTAAGAAGGATGTCGACAAGCTGGAAGATGTGCAGAGGAGGGCAAACCAAGATGATCAAGGGTCTGGAAACTAAACCTTACGAGGAGCACTTGAAGGAGGTGGGTATGTTTAGCCTGAAGAAGACGCAATTGACAGGAGATGTGAGAGCCATCATCAAATATCTCAAGAGCTGTCACATGGAAGAGGGAGCAAGCTTGTTTTCTCCTGCTCTGGAGGGTAGGACTCGAACCCATGGCTTCAACTTACAAGAAAGGAGATTCCGACTAAACATCAGGAAGAACTTTCTAACAGCGAGAGCAGTTCAACAGTGGAGCGGGCTTCCTTAGAAGGTGGCAGACTCTCCTTCCTTGAAGACTTTTAAGAAGAGGTTAGTTGGCCATCTGTCTTGGATGCTCCAGCTGAGAGTCCTGCATTGCAGGGGGGTGGACTAGATGACCCTCAGGGTCCCTTCCATTTGCGCAACTCTATAATTTTATGAAGGATTGCTGCCTCCGACTGGAGGCTGAGCGCAGCCATCATGTCTAGTAGTCCTCTGTAGGCCCTCTTCCACGAATGTCAACGTCAAAGTGGCAAAGCAACTCCAGTCTCTGAAATGGGCATTGTTGGTGAGGAGACCCTCACCTTGACAACCTTTGATCTAAAGAGCCAGTACATGCCTTGCTCATCCTGAGACTGAAGAGCGTTCACTATGGAGAAAGACACTTCTGTAAGGGGTTCTTCAGCAGTTTGCAGAGTTTCAGACAACGCAGAGAGCTGCAAAACCTCTGTATCACAGCTTAAAGGCGGGACTGGCATGTCAGATCATGCAGGGGTTCTTAATCTGGAGCTTATAAGGTTCTGAATCATATTAGAAAATAATAATCTGCCATGGTTTCCTTGAATTCCTCTCCACCCACCCCAGTCCACACCACTGGCCTATGCTCAATTTTCCTGCATGTGCGGTAACCTTATCTGACTAGAAGATTGTGTCACCTTGCACCAAGGCATCGCTGCACCCTGACATTGTGACATGGCATACGCAAACTAGCATTGCACTTTGAATAATCATTTACGTGTTTCCAGATGCGCCACGGCTGAACTGGTTACTAAGCTTCTACCGACCAAAGTACACCAAAACTGCCGCCCTACCCAAATAAGAAACACCTAACACTGAACCCAGTGCTGCGAATTCCAACCTTAGTTCCCAGTTAGGTGGTCACCATAAGATGCAGAGGTGGGTTTTACGGGAAGAAGAGTTGTCTGTGCCTCAACTTACCCATCCATAGAACGGGAAGAAATGGGGCTTTAACCAAAGACCCAAGAGCTATCCATGTGCAGCACCTTCAGGCCCAAGTTTAAGAAACAGTCAGCTCTGTGCAAGAGATTCTTGGCCTCCAATCGGGGGGGGGGGATAAATCCCCGTCAATCAGCCAGACGCTGCCACGTGGCTAGACAAGGCCAGCGAGCAAAGAACATTAGCTAACTGCCAAGGACAGCCTTGTACTGTCTCAGCACACTCCCAACAAAAGCCCTGGGGAGACAAACAGGGACTGTACCCCAGGCTCCTTTGGACAAGAGACAAATCACAGCAGTTTCCCTCCCAATCCCTGTGGGCAAGTACAGACGCACACACAAAAACACTTTAAAAAGCCAGGATTGTTTAAGCGCAGAACAGGGGAAATATTTAAGTTGCTGAGAACCAAAATGTGCCTTTCTGGAACCCAGTCAGGGTGGCCCCGGGGATTTCTCCAGGGCCAGCACCTCCCCAGTGGACCTGGGTCCAAAGGAAGAAGGAGCGAGGGAGAGAATTCTGCTGGAGGCATAGGGTGAATCCATGCAAGGGTCCCATAAACCTCCTCTGGTCTCTCTTAGACGCCCTCAGAAGGCGGTGGACTCTCCCCTGCACTGGAGGCTTCAAAGCAGAGGCCACCTGTCAGGGATTCTTTCGCTGTGACTCCTGCCTTGCAGGGGGTTGAGCTAGTTGTCCCTCAGGGATCCCTCCCAACTCTGCGACTCTCTTATTTTCTCAGAGGGCCACTTCACACATTCAAGCGCATTGCAACACCACACAATAATAATTATTATCATTTATTATTTATACCCTGCCCATCTGGCTGAGTTTCCCAAGCCACTCTGGGCGGCTCCCAATCGAGTGCTAAAAGCAATGCAGCATTAAATATTAAAAACTTTACTAAACAGGGCTGCCTTCAGATGTCTTTTAAAAATAGGATAGCTGCTTATTCCCTTGACATCTGACGGGAGGGCATCCCAGAGGGCAGGCGCCACCACCAAGATGGTCCTCTGCCTGGTTTCCTGTAACTTGGCTTCTCGCAATGAGGGAACCGCCAGAAGGTCCTCAGAGCTGGACCTCAGTGTCCGGGTAGAACGATGGGGGTAGAGATGCTCCTTTAGATATATTGGACTGAGGCCGTTTAGGGCTTGAAAGGTCAGCACCAACACTTTGAATTGTGCTTGGAAATGTACTGGGAGCCAATGCAGATCTCTCAGGACCAGTGTTATGTGGTCTTGGCGGCCACTCCCAGTCATCAGTCTAGCTGCCGCATTCTGGATTAATTGCAGTTTCCGGGTCACCTTCAAAGGTAGCCCCACGTAACGCGCATGGCAGTAGTCCAAGCGGGAGATAACCAGAGCATGCGCCACTCTAGCGAGACAGTCTATAGGCAGGCAGGGTCTCATCCAGCACACCAGATGGAGCTGGGAGACAGCTGCCCCGGACACAGAATTAACCTGCACCTCCATGGACAGCTGTGAGTCCACAATGACTCCCAGGCTGCGCACCTGGTCCTTCAGGGGCACAGTTACCCCATTCAGGACCAGGGAGTCCTCCACACCCGCCTGCCCCCTGTCCCCCAAAAACAGTACTTCTGTCTTGTCAGGATTCAACCTCAATCTGTTAGCTGCCATCCATCCTCCAACCACCTCCAGACACTCCCACAGGACCTTCACCACCTTCACCGGTTCTGATTTAAAGGAGAGGTAGAGCTGAAATGCAGACCTCCCTTTGAGAAGCACCGGAAGTGCGATCCTACCTGCAAGAGCTCACATGCGCCGCTTGTCATGCAATGAGCACGGGGGGGGGGGACTCAATGCACAAGGCGTAGATCTACAGAACTGCACTGCAGCATCATTAGGGACCCCAGGGGTCATCCAGCCGGACCCCCGGCCATGCAGGAATCACGGCGAAAGATGCGGCAATTGCTCAGTTTCTAGTCTACTTGCTCAAGCGCTGCATAATCCACAGGGAAACCTGTGGCAACAGGGGCTGCGCCGCCCCCCAGCAAAACATTGATTTATTGTCTGGCTGGCACATAGCTCCCTCCTGCCACCTTTGCCTGCTGGAAAGAGCACAAGACCCAGCAGTGTGCCAGGCCAAGCTGCCCAGCTCCATTCATCAGGGGGCAGCAGAGACGGTCCAAAGAAGTACCACGCCATCCGTCTCTGGGTGCCAGACCCCCCCAGGACACCCCCCCCATGGCTCGGGTCCCTGTCACACTGATGGAGATTAGAGCGATGCGCTGAGACACCCAGAAGGGGCACGTCGCAAAGGATTAAAATCACGACTTCACCAGCAGACAGGCCAAACAGAGTCTGCCGTAACAATCGAGGTACGAGACCAAAGGCTTGTTGACACACGGCGAGATTCAGAAGCGTCTGGCTTGCTACTGGCAAGGTGTTTTCCTCACCATGGTGCATGGGGGAACTCCATCGTGCACGCAAGTGACTTGCCGTCCATGTTTCCACAATCCCTTAAAGGTAAAGGGACCCCTGACCATTAGGTCCAGTCGTGGCCGACTCTGGGGTTGCGGCACTCATCTCGTTTTATTGGCTGAGGGAGCCGGCGTACAGCTTCCGGGTCATGTGGCCAGCATGACTAAGCCGCTTCTGGCAAACCAGAGCAGCGCATGGAAACGCCGTTTACCTACTCGCAGGAGCGGTACCTATTTACCTACGTGCACTTTGACATGCTTTCAAACTGCTAGGTTGGCAGGAGCAGGGACCGAGCAACGGGAGCTCACCCCGTCGCAGGGATTCGAACTGCCGACCTTCTGATTGGCAAGTCCTAGGCTCTGTGGTTTAACCCACAGCGCCACCCGCGTCCCAAATTCCACAATCCCTTACTCAGAGGCAAAGCACATCGGAATCCCAGGGTCTCTGTTGTGCGCTAGAGACCCTTTCGACTCATTTCAGGCTCGTGGGGAAGTTTTCAGATTTTGCAGAGTAACCTAAACACGAACCGCAAATCATAGGTGGAGCCCGTACCTGAACTGCCCCCTTTCTCCCTGTGCACCAGTGAGGAATTGGGGATGGGGCCTGGGAGAGACCAGGGTATATCTAAAGAGCTGTGAGCTCCTGGCTCTCCAGGAACATTGGCCTGATCCAGCCAGCTCCTCTTATGTGCTTACAAACATTTAAATAAATAAAACTATGAATTGATGAGCAGCTGCAGAAGTGACAGCAATAGGGATGAGGGAGAACAAATGCTTCATTGATTTTATTTTAATTACCGTATTTTTTACTCTATAAGACTCACTTTTTCCCTCCTAAAAAGTAAGGGGAAATGTTTGTGCGTCTTATGGAGCGAATGCAGGCTGCGCAGCTATCCCAGAAGCCAGAACAGCAAGAGGGATCGCTGCTTTCGCTGTGCAGTGATCCCTCTTGTTATTCTGACTTCTGAGAATCAGAATATATATATTTTTTGTTTTCCTCCTCCAAAAACTAGGTGCATCTTGTGGTCTGGTGCGTCTTATAGAGCGAAAAATTATTTCATGAAAGTTATACCCTGCTTGACTGGAAAGAGAGAGAGAGAGAGAGAGAGCGTCCTTGATATGGTTTGCTCACTCTCAGCCAGCTATCGAGCAATAACCCCCACTACAAGCAGCACAAACACTCTTATCTGCAGCCAGATGTTCCACAGGTCAGAAAACTGTTGCAGCGCAAAGCTCATCGCAACCCCCTAGCTAGCACCTCTGTGGAGCGGAGTTTCTGGTCCCCAATACAGAACGAAGAACAATATCGCTACTGGACCACTTGACACTTCCTCCTTTTAAAGAGGACTCTGGATCAGACACAAAGGGTGAGCATTTGATCCGGGAAGGATTTCCCGGTGAAAATCCTGACTTTGGAACTATGGGAAGCAGCCAGATAGTTTCTCCCCCGTCGCCACTATTTGGCAATCCATATGCTCTCTAAGAAAACCAGAAGAGCGCTGCTGGATCAGGCCAATCCAGCTGGACCAACCCAGCATCCTGCTCCCACAGGTGCTTATTATGGGAAACCTGCAAGCGGGACCCAAACTTTGCCCTCCTGCGTCTCCCAGCAAGTGGCACTCAGGAAAAGCCTTGTTGCCTCCAGCAGAGCAGAGCCAAGGCCATTGGCAGCCTTCTCTTCCACGAATAACAGCTTTGTCTTCCATGGCATAACAAGAACCACCTGCTGGATCTGACCCACGGCCCGTCTCCCAGGGGTCACCCAGATGCCCCCGATGGGAAACAAGCAAGCAGAATTCAAGCACAAGAGCAACTCTCCTTTCCTGAGATTTCTAGCAACTGGTACTTGGGAGCGCTTCTGCCTCCAATTGTGAAGGCAGAGCAGAGACACCATGGCGGGGGGGGGGGGCGGAGAGAGATTATCTGCGATAAGATAACACAATAACTAGGTCACTTCCATAAGCTCTTTCCTCCAGGCTCATCCAGCCGCCACCACCTCTGACGAGAGCCCCCGTAAAGCGCACACCCCACTGTACCACCAACCAGAAAGGGAGACACCTTTGGGGTCGCTGATGAAAGGAGAGGCCAGAGGGGGGTGGATTCCCAAGAGACATAAGGGACCCTCCTAGGAATCCCTTGGGAGTCTCTCCGAAATCTCCTTTGGGCACCGGGGGCCCAGGACGCAGCTTCGGTTACTCATCTTACAAGGCTGCTTCTAATAACTCTTACCCTTCCTTGTGGAACTTTCCCTTTTCTGAGCTCCAGCATTTAGAGAGAGAGGAGGAGGAAGCTGGTGATGAGAAAGACGCACAACTGGATTGCAAAAAGGAAGTGCTTCAAGTTCATTAACACTGTGCCTACTGTACGGAACGGCTCTTTCCTTTGAGTGTGAGCTCATGCAGAATCCTGTCAGGCTTTTCCGCAGGGCGGGGTGGTGGTGGTGGTGGGGGTGGGGAGGAGAGAGAGAGAGACAGAGAACCACCATGAACGGTATCCTAGTTACCATTTGTAGATATATAATTATGTGCCATTGCCAAGCACATGCCTAGACCTTTTTGTAAAGGCATGATTTGGGGAATATTAGATTTCAGGTGGGAAAGGCAGCCAACGGAGAGCTCCTGTTTAGGGAGCCGGCTGGCCAGGCATCCTGAGAACATTAGAAGAGTCTGCCTGCAGGATCAGGCCAGAGGGGGCCCATCTAGGCCAGGACCCCTTGTCTCACAGCCAGAAACCAGTAAGCAGGATCTGAGCGCAATAACACTCTCCCCTCTTGCAGATTCCAGCAACCAGCATTCAGAAGATTTGCTGTTCTCTTGCTCCCTTCTGTTTCCCTCATGCTTCTCTCCCCCTCCCAAGCAGAAGCTCAGCGTTCTGCAGCCACTGAGCATGCTCAGTTCAGGTGGGTCCTTTGGGGGAGGGGGTTGCTCCCTTAGGGTTTTACTTTCGAAGGGGTTCCTATTTGTACTGCTGCAATCCTAGGGGTTCCTCTGAGGGAGCCAGTTCAGTTGCCCCAATAAGGTTCTAATCCTGCGGGCACTCGCCAGCTAAGTTCTCTATCAAGCGGGTCTTCCTTTAAAGAAGAGAGTTGCTAACATAGGCTTCTCCAGCAACCCATGGCGGTTTCCTCCTGGAGCAAGTCTAGCCAGGACAAGAAGAGTCACGTAAAGATTACGGGGAACACGCCCAGCCTTTGCAAACAGTTCCTCAACCCTCCAGCAAAGGTGCGGCAGAAACATCCAGCCCGTCTACTGTTGCTAGAGAATTTGTGCCCCCGCAGGGCACGTTCTTAGCTTCTGAATGACAGGCAAGTTCACCTGAGCAGGGTTGGAAGTTCCATTTGCTACAACTGCCACAGGAAATGACCTTTAGCCAAGCTGTGCAGAGACAGCTGCATCTTAAAACAGCTTCCAGTCCTTTCATTTCTATCTGTCCACCTCCTCAAAGACCCAATGGAAACATTTTAACTTGTTGGCTCAAACCCATCAGCAAGGAAGACAGACAGACGTCCCTTGGCAAGAAGCTGCGCCATCTCGGTGCCGCTACTGAGAAGGCCCTGCCTTGCATAGCGTCCTACCACCCTTCAGATATTTCGGGCTTTAAGTAACAGCCCTTTGAACCAGTCCCGAAACTGGAGCCAAGTTGATCCGATATCAGAGTAGTAATGCTTCACGTGCTGAGCACAGCTCTTGCGGTTGAATTCTGGACCACATGCCTGTCCCCAAAGCATTTCCAAAGGCAGTCCTGTTGCAGGAGGCAGGTTATGCAGATATTGCCAGGGCACGAGTGGCAAAGGGCCGATCCTGCACCAGGAGAGCTGGTGCAGTGAGAGAAGGAGCCTCGGGCCCCCACAGCCATCTGGGCATCTAGGGAGCAGCAGGATACCCAGAGGCACCCCCAAACCTGAGATGCCTTGAAGGGGCGTGAGACCCTGCCCTAAACCGCTCTCAGGCCTCTTGCTTCTCACATGCTGGCAAACAAGCAATGAAGCTTGTGGACCTTCGAGCCAGATGGTCTCTCCTCGGCACGTCACACGGACACCCCTGGAGAGGGGCTCCCAGTTTTACCAGCTTACTAGTGAAGCTGACAAAGTCCGCACCTGTGAACCACTTCGCTGAGGTAGTCACTCCTCACAGAAAATCACAGTTAAACATGGAAACCTTCCCCACAGAAGCCATTTCTGACTGGTCCCTGCTGCCCCCAGTTCACCCAGACACAGGCCAGAGTGTTATAAGAAGTCATGACTTAAGAGATTATTATTTTTTAATACTAAGCAGTATATAAGTGTTTCTGAATAAATCGTGAAAATGTGGGCCACTCCTTCTGCATGCTCAGGGGCTTCTCGTGCTATCAAGCAGTGCTGAAAGGAGCAGTACTTGGGGGTCTGCCCCACAACACTGGATTTAGTGTGGCTGCCTAGTCCTTCACTGAATCTGCTAAGGGCCAGGGGGAGGCAGCCGGGGCTCCAAAAACATCCCCAAGGTTTGATTGGCTTCTAAGGCTTGGGGAGGAATTCAAGCACTCCCACCCCAGAGCGACAGAAACCCTTTGACGCAGCCTTGCGGACAGGCTACTAGCTCACTGCCCAGCCAGCCAGTTACAGCCAAGCTGGAATGAAAGGGGTCATCGTCAGGAGCTGGCCAGTGCCAAGTCGGAGTGAGGGTGGCAGGAAGTACCCTCTGCAGCCAGGCGCACCTGCTTCCTGATCAAAGGCCCTGTGCTATACGTAGGGCAGTTCCTCCCCCAGTACTGGCAGCAGGAGCCAAGCCAGGGCAGGAATGAGATCAGTGACAGAAGGGAAACGGTCTGGGGCCTCCACACCAGAAATTAACAGGGAACGGGTGGCGCTGTGGGTTAAACCACAGAGCCTAGGACTTGCTGATCAAAAGGTCGGTGGTTCGAATCCCCACGACGGGCTGAGCTCCCGTTGCTCGGTCCCTGCTCCTGCCAACCTAGCAGTTTGAAAGCACGTCAAAGTGCAAGTAGATAAATAGGTACCGCTCCGGCGGGAAGGTAAACGGCGTTTCCATGTGCTGCTCTGGTTCACCAGAAGCGGCTTAGTCATGCTGGCCACATGACTGGAAGCTGTACGCCAGCTCCCTCGGCCAATAAAGCGAGATGAGCGCCACAACCCCAGAGTTGGTCACGACTGGACCTAATGGTCAGGGGTCCCGTTACCTTTAACTGCTTGGCACCTGTAACTTGGAGCCTAGCAAGGCCAGAAAGACAGGAAGCATTGCTAAAAGATGTTGGGAAGTCTGAAAGAGGGAGGGAGGGAAGTCAATGCTCTTGTTGGAGCAATGCTTTATGTTATAGATCTGTGTAATGAAATGTAATTGAATATGGAAAACTCAATAAAAATTATTATTTAAAAAATAACATAAAGACAGGAAGCAGCAAACAAGCGTCCTATGAGCACCTTAGCAACAGGATCATCACCAAGAGATCACTAATCCTATCAAGTCTTCACAAAGGCCCCATAGCAGACCACACTAGGCTTCCCTGGGACTGCAAAGCTCGTGGCTGTTCTGGGGCTTTGCGGCTCAAAAGGCTGGGTCCAGGTGCTATACTAAACTACGGTTCAGCGTGATGTGCCTGAGCCTCAGACTCTCCCCCTGTCCATTTTAGCTTGTGCCCACCGACCCCCACCCATGGCACTCCTCTGGCACAGACATAAGGTGACTAGAAGCTTAGCTCCACTCTCAGGAACATTTCTGGAGGAAAAGGGTGGTTAGCCTCATTTACTGGCTGAAAATAAAGACTGGCCCAACCCGTGGTCATTTTGTTTGAAAGGGAAGACCACCCCCTCAAAAAAAAAGTTAAACCTTGCGTGTTTCCAAAAGTTGCTGAATATATCCTTCCACGTTTGCAGAGTGAGAAATGGATGTTTGTGTAGAGGAACTCAGCCTCACTGTGACCTTTGTTCCTTTGAATAACCTGAAGTTTGTGTAGTTTGGACGCGATGCTAGAGGGCAGTTAATGAAGAACAGGGACGGAAAGGAAAGCTTCCAACCTCCTCCTGATGGCCAGGCCAGAGGAGGGGAAAGGGGGCACCTGCTGAACCTGCAGCTCCATCACGGAACCACAGCTGAGAGCTAGGACCAAACGCCGTGTCAATGCAACAGCCACCTTAGGCCAGAGGAGCAGGGCTTAGTTACCTGGCTTTGCAAAGCCCTCTTCAAAAGCAAAACCAAGGAAGTGGTCTTTTGCTCCAGCCAGGATTAAATCTTACAGTTCCACGCAGCGCTAACAGGGAGAGGAGGGCGATCCCAGGGGACTCGCCTTGACTCACTGCTCGGCCTGCAACACGCTCCAGCAGTGATTTATGTCCATTCCAATACATTTCAGACTTCATAATTACGAAAGGAGGTGGGGCTCTCCCCCTCCCCCTTCCTCCCTTCCCCACACAATCCCGCCAGCTGAGCTGGGTGGAAAGCACCCATGGCCTGAAGGCTCCCCGTTTGCCCAGGGTGGGAGCGCTGTTCTTGCGCACCGGCGGGAGTGAGGCGCCCCCCTCCCTCTCTGCCCTTTGTCTCAGCTGACGAGCTGGGGGCGGGGGGGGGAGCCACAGCCCTGGCCTCGCTGCCGAGGTGAACGGGGCGGGTTCTCGGAAATAATCAGCGGAGGGAAAGTGGGGCTGCCGGGGAGGGAGGCTGCTTTCCCCGCTCGCTCCTGCTTCCTCTCCCGTGGCAAAGAGGGACCCCCGGCTCCGTCCCCCGGCCTGCCTTCAAGGGCTGCCCTTCCTCCGCAGCTGGACCAGGAGCCGGGAGGCGCACGATGCTTTGCCCAGCGGTGTCCCCCCCCCCCTCTGCCAAGCTACCCACGGCTTTGGGAGGGAGGGAGGAGGACTGGTGAGCAGGGGGGCGTCCTGGCTTCTGGGAGCATGCTCTATTGGAAACGTGGGGGGCGTAATTCCGATTCAGGGGCTGCAGGCAAGAGCCGCCAGTGCGACAGGTGCCAGACTCCCTGCAAGCCCCCAGGCCTAGCCTCATACGGAGGGGGGCAGGATCACGCCCAGAACTCCCCCCACACACAAGTCGGGGTCTTTGCCCTTTTCCTCTCCCCCCACCCTATTTCCATTAACCTGAAACGGGGCTCCAGCCCCGCTGTCCGCCCCGAAGGACCATCGCCACCTCCCCGACGCTCCCAGGCGAAGAAGGGCAGCCCGGCGCCCCCGAAGCCGCGCCCGTCTGGGGGCTTGGCCGCCCCTCCGCCCGCGGGAGCCTCCGGGAAGCGGCGCGCAGCAACTGGTCCCGGCAGCCGGGGAAGGGGAGCGCGGCGCTGCCTCGCCACCCGCCGCCGCCTCCTGCTTCTCCTCCTTACCCAGCATGGAGAAGATGAAGTCCTTGGCGGTGTGGATCTCGAGCGCGCGCTGGTCGTCGTACTCGCGCTGGTCGTGGCGCGTGAACTCCTGGATGAGCCGGTTGAGCTCCTCGACGCGGGCGCCCGAGCGGAAGTCCAGCTCCGGGAAGGCGGCGGCCGCGGCGGCGGCGGACAGCGACGAGCCGCCCGACGACGCCGAGGAGGGAGCCCGGCCCGGGCCAGGCGCGGCGCCCGAGCCGGCCTTGGCGGCCAGCGGCGGAGCGGCCATCTTCGCGCCGGCCAGGAGGAGCAGCAGACGCAGCGCACCCAGCAGCCGCGCCCGCCGCCCGGACCGCCAGCCGGACACCAGGCGCCGCGCAGCCGGGAGCAGACGCCGCCGCCGCCGCCAGCGCCCAGGCAGCAGCAGCAGCAGCCAGCCAGGCAGGCAGGCCGGGCCTGGCGCTCGCCGGCTGCCCGCCCCGCGGCGGCTCCTCCTTCTCCTCCTCCTCCTCCGCCCCGGATCCCGGCGCCCGGGAGCGCGCGAGCGAGCGCGGCTGCAGCGCCGCCGGGACGCCCGACCGGGAATCCCAGCAACGGCGCTCCCAGTGGCCGCGCTGCCAAGGCTGCTTTGCGCGCTCCCGGGCCCGGCCCAGCCTCGCCGCCGCCGCCGCCGCCCACACCGCGCGCGGCAACGCCGGCAGCTCCAACCGGCGCCGCCCCGCGCGCCCGGGCAGCCTCGGCACAGGCGGCCGGCGGCCGAGCCACGCAGAGCGCTTCGGTGCCGCGCGCCCGAGCGCACCCGGGAAGCTTCGCTGCGGGGCAGGACCCCTCGCCGCCGGGGGGGAGGGAGGTTGTCAGGAGCTTTGGGGGCGGCGCAGGACCCGTTCCACTGCAGAAGAAGCCTGGAGGCCGGGGCGCACCGAGGGACTGGCCAGGTCGGACCTCGCCAAAGGCGCAGCCCGAGGGGGGCGCAAAACCCGCGCTTCCCGGCTCTGGCAAGGGCGCAAGGGAGTCCAGGCGCGCCTCTGCCTTGAGGAAGAGGCTTCTGCTGAGGTGGCTCAGGGTCTCTGTTGACCCCGGAGGCAGCTGCCACGCCGGTAGGCCTGTTTCGGTTCGCGCCGACTTTGATTTGCTTCTCATGGCGGCTGGGTGCACTTTAAGGCCAACGGGACACACTCTGGCCTGTAGCTCTGAAATGAACATGATTTATTCCGAGGCAACAGTTTGGCCGCCAACCAAGTCTGCCACTGGCCGCTGCAAAAATGTTCCTTTGGTGCTGGATTTTACGCATCTTTTCCCATTAAGTCCCATACACATCTGCTTCATCAACGAAATTAATTGATATGTTTTGTTTGATTGGCAGAGAAATCTGAAAAGCTACACAGAACTCTTTGGCTTGGTCAAGTGTGGATAGCAGTGTTCTGTGTAGCTGACACCCTCCTCGTCTTCCAAAGCAACTACTCTATTCCGAACTTAAAAATGGAAAGCGTAATGCTGGTGGTCAACAAAAGAGGTTAAAAGACTCTCTCAAGGCAAATCTAAAAAAATTTAGTATAAACACCAGCAATTGGGAAACACTGGCCTGCGAGCGCTCCAGTTGGAGAACAGCCTTGACCAAAGGTGTCATGGGCTTTGAAGACACTCGAACTCAGGACGCAAGGGAGAAAGGTGCTAAGAGGAAGGCATGCTTGGCAAATCCACACCGTGATCAACTCCCTCCCGGAAGCCTATGTCCCCACTGTGGAAGAACGTCTGGATCCAGAATTGGCCTCCACAGTCACTTACAGACTCACTGTTCAAACTGTGTTCATGGAAGACAGTCTTTAAATCATAATGCCCTGTGGACTGTCCTTCTGAAAATTGGCTGCCCAGATAAATTTGTGAACATGTTTTGGTTCCTCCATGATAATATGATAGCAACAATCGCAGATAACAGTGGCTCTCAAAGTGAACCATTCACAGTGAGATCAGGTGTTAAACAGGGTTGTGTTATTGCCCCAACTCTATTCATTATTTTCATTGCCATGATCCTACACTTTGTTGAAGGGAAACTCCCCACCGGAGTAGAAATCATATGGAAAGCTCTTCAATCTGAGCAGGCCGAAAGCAAAGAGTAAGGTTACCGTAACTTCCGCCATAGAGCTCCAGTATGCTGCTGACAACGTAGTGTGTGCCCGCTCAGAGGATGACCTCCAAACCATCCTAAATATCTTCGCAGAAGCTTATAAAAAGCTTGGCCTATCGCTCAGCATCCAAAAAACCAAAGTGCTGCACCAACAAGTACAAAATAACCCCTCTGCAGTGCTCAGAAGTAAACCCCATGGGGCTCAGTGGGATTTCCTCCCAGTAACTTTGGGAGCTGTTTGACAGTGGAATGGACTCCCTTCCTTGGAGGCCATCGACTGGGAATTCTTCAGCCCTGATTCCTGCATTGCAGGGGGTCAGACCAGATGAGCCCTGGGGGTCCCTTCCAACACTACAAGTCTGTCATTCTAAGTGTGCATATATGATTCCAGCCTTTATGAGAGTTCACTTTGAAGGGCAAGGGGACAGCCAGAATTTGTCAGAATACATAGGTGGGTAGAACCCACGTTGTCCGAACAAGCAGAGTTGCATAACTCTAGTTTGGAAGACTGAAGAAGTACCAACAAAAGAACAATGGCAAGGAAAACTGGTGAATTATGCAGAATTCTACAGATAAACTACATGAAAAGGACAACAGAGACTTTTAAAAAGAATGGGAACCTTTTACAACTTACCTACAGAAACAACAAAAAAGAAATGGACTCATTGGTGGATTTTGAATAAACATTCACAACTTTATTCAAGTAAGATATGAAGGAAGACAATGTCGTAACGTCTAAAGTATATTAATATGCAGAAGACCACAATCAATGTAACAAACCAGAAAGGGAAGATGAGGGAAGTCACCAGGGAGGGGGGTGGATTGGAAAATGTAAAATTGGATGATCTTTATTTGCAATAAAAGAAAATTAATAAAATATTTATAATTTTTAAAAAGACTGTGATGGATTTAACACTGGACTCAAAGGCAAAAAATGGAGGATTTGTGTGGACAAGATGGGGCTCCCAGCAAGACCTTTCCACCTGCTGCAAGTGATTCAGGTCTCTTCCTCAGGTCTGCCAGCCCTATTTTTTAGGCTGGCGTGGGTGCCCACTGCTGCCCTCTCTTGGTTACAACTGTGAATACCAAGCAGGTTGCTTTGCTAACATGTCCCCTCTCAATTTAGGGTAATGGTAAGATTACCTTGAGGGCTGCCCTACCCAGACTTCATAGACTCTGCAGTCTCTCCATCCAATAGTGGTTTGGTATCAGGCCGTAGCTCACTGGTAGAGCATTTGCTTTGCAGGCAGAAGGTCCCAGGTTCCATCCCCAATGGCATACGCAGGTAGGGATCTGAAAGCCCGGAGAGCCATTGCTTCCAGTCAGTGCAGGCAATCAGGACACATAAGAGGACGTACTTCATTTTGCGGCACATGGTTAATCTACGGAACTCCCTGCCACAGGAGTCAGCGATGGCCACCAACTTGGATGGTTAAAAGAGGATTGGACAAATTCATGGAGGAGAATAAGGCTATCGATGAGACTCACCACAATAGCTATGTGCTCCCTCCACAGTTGCAATGCTTCTGAATGCCAGTTGCAAGAGAGGAGTGCGCTCTTGTGCTCATGTCCCACTTGCTGGTGCCCCCCCCCCCAGACATCTGAGAAGAGGATGCTGGACTAGATGGGCCATTGGCCTGATCCAGCACAGGCTCTTGCGTTATTGCAAGCAAAATGGGCCACTGGCCTGCCTTCCTAGGTTTCCTGTCTTCTTATTTCTTCTTCTTGTTCTTCTTGTAAGTGGTGGTTCTGAGAATGCACCCTTTGGGGAAAGGTCAAATGCTACAAAGGAACTCGAACGCATGAAAAATTGATCAAGGCCCCACACAGGGAAGAGTTGATGAAAGGCTCTGCAACTGCAAAGTCAGCAAACGTGGCGATGCAAAGGTTTCAGGAGCTGTCCCCAGCTGGGACAGAGGGGATGCACGACCAGGAATCCTTCTTTAAACGCTGCACAACAGCTAAAAGTGGCTGGAGAAAAAACAGAGGGAGAGAGAGCATCTCATGTGATGTTCACTTGAAAAATGAGAGAGAGGCCCATGGAGAACCAACCCTGTTACTGCCAACCTTCCTAACCAAGAGGCTGTTTATCTGATGCCCTGGGCAGAAGTGCCTGAAACACTCAAGAAATCCACAAGGGTTCCAAGAAGTTAAATAATCACCTAAGAAAGTGGACTCTGAGCCTTTGCCCCATTGAGATTCAAGGACCGTTAACGTTCTATTTTGGGAATGATTCATGTTCTTATGTAGCTGCATTCTTTTATACTTTCTGGGTGTCCCAGGGTCATATTATGAATCAAGCACTGCTACATGTAAGTTGCTTCTTTTTGTTTCCCAATGTATTTCTTATCAGTAAAAAAAATCAGTATGGTGCAAGTAATTGTTTGTTCTGAACGTGTGGCCCAGAGAAAAAAGTTTGAGAACCACTGTCCTAGTGCAACAAATACACCTTTTTTTGGAAAACCAGACTTTTTGCTGTAAGGAAAGTGAAGGGGAACGCTCAATAAAGACTGGGTGTTGTCTTAACTTCTGTGTAAGAAATGAAATGAGGAAGGGATGCAGAATAAGCAGGTAGTTTGGAGAAGCCCAGAGACAGACTGCGTCATGGGGGAAAGCCTCCCAGATGTGGGAACTCAGCTGGAGGTTTTTGAAGGGTTGTAAAGAGCCCCATAAACCTTCAGGACACCAACCGAGGCACGGGAAGCCTGCAAATCCCTTCTTTCTGAGAGCGCAGGTGCTGCAAGCAGCCCTGGATTTAAAGGGGCCATAAATCAGTTGAATCTGACCCTAGCAGAAAGAGAGCTGTCCCTGAAAAGAAGTTGTCAGAGAGGTTGCAGGGGCTTCTTGGGAAAGTGTGTTTGTGTGCAAAAGTGAGGCACCGCCAGAAAGAGCCACTGTTGTGTCGATCTGTCTCCAGGTCCCAGATTGTCTCTTTGGGATGTTTGCCTCCTGCAGTCATCCTCCTCTTCCTCCTCCTCTCCCCACAAGGAGGACAAAATGGAAAACGTTGCATCAGTCTGACAAAACTGGGACCTTAGCCACAAAAAAGAACAGGCCAGGGAGCTCATGCTATCAGCTCCTGATAAAACCACCAGCACCCTGAGCCAAAGCTGCTTTTCATAATTGGTAGCATCCTTCTGTTTTAGTATGTTAAATTGCAAACCCCTTTGGATGCCTTGGCAGAAAGGAGAAATATATATGCAGTAAATAATTAAACGAGCAAAATGCATATTTGTGCAATGTGCCCACAGAATCCCTGCAGTGGAGTCCACTCTAAGGCTTCATTTGGTAAGCCGCCACTCTCCGGAGTGAGGCATGCGGTTCTGGGCTGCTCAGATAGTCTTTCTGGAAAAGGCCAATTTCTGTAGCTACTAAAGGAGCTCAAGGTGGCGTATGTGGTTCGCTTCCCACTTTATCCTCACAACAGCCCTGCGAGGTTGGTTAGGCTGCAAAACTGTGACTGGCCACCAGGTTCACCCAGTAAACTTTGTGGCCACGCAGGGATTTGAACCCATGTCTCTCCCAGTTCCTAGTCCTGCACTCTAACCACTACACCACACTCTCTCTTCCTCTCTCTCTCTCTGAGCCCTCTGATTTAGATCAGGAGGGGGGCACAGCACTTGGGGAGGGGAGTGAGACTATGCGGCAGAAACCCCTGGAGGTACCAGGTCAGGCATAGGCAAACTCAGCCCTGCAGATGTTTTGGGACTACAACTCCCATCATCCCTGACCACTGGTCCTGTTAGCAAGGGATGATGGGAGATGTAGTCCTAAAACATCTGCAGGGCCGAGTTTGCCTATCCCTGTACCAGGTCCTGATGAGGCAGGAGACTGAAGGCCTGCCCCTTCCAAGGCTGGGGAGCTTGAGGGAGGAAGGCATGACCAGTCATGTGGTCCAAGTGCTGGTGACAGCAATGCATTGTGGGCGTTTCTTTTCCCTGGAAAATGATGCCATGCCTGGGATGCTCTGGCCCACCCATCTGGCGACCCAAGAGGCAAGGCAGGAACTAAGCTG